ACCACCACCACCACCACCACCGCTCCGACTCTTCCCCTCGTGAGATGCACACAAACACACGCACATAAAAAAAAAAAAGGGGGGAAAAGAAAAATAATAATAGAAATCAAAAACAGCCAAACAAAAGAGAACAAAAAAAAAAAAAACAATAAAAAAAAGAAAAAGAGATGCCAACAAGCCTCTTCTCTTCCCTCCAATATAACAAAGGGGAGCTCGCCCGCTTCCGTCCACAGAGAGCGAGGGAGAAATACACCAGGCGTTCCCCCGGAATTCCACTCCTACATAAAGGCACATCCTTGAAGATCCATTCGCATAAAACAAAACAAAACAAAAAACAAAGGAAGAAAAACATATGGCTGGAGCTAAACAATGCGTTGCAACTCAACCGCAAAATGCAGGTGGTTTTTCAGCATTTCCTGAAAGGGGACCTCCTTTCTAGCTAGATCCTCTTCGCGCGTAAATACAAAACTACGACCATCGGCGCTGAGCTGCCAATTGTGGCACCGTCCAATCTGCCTCACTTCCTCCGCCGAGTCAACCATAAGAATTTTCTGTGCCTTGTCTATGGAAAGAGTGTTGTACGAACGAGGGATGCATTCCGCCACCTCCTGCCGCACGGTGGATTCCAACATCCCTACGATAGGAATGTACTCGTTTGAAGGTGCTTGGTGGCGGGAATTGAGAAGCTTCTTGTAGCTTCCCTCCATCAAGTAACGCTCGAGGAGAACGGCGAAGCGAATGTAAGTGTTCGTGCCGTGAATTTGGTTGGGTATTTTCTCCAGCTCGGAGTGAAATTGCGCAATGCGATTGCGGACCAGCAGACGAACCAAATTGAGTCCAAGGATGAGCAGGTACAACGGGGATTCAGGAAGCTCACTGCTATCAATATCCGTGTAGTACACATTGAGTTGGTTAAAATAGAGCTCAAAGCTATCAAGGTCCCCGAGACGCGCACTGACCAACACGCCGTGCTCCAGCACCTCACGGGTGAGTGTTAACTCCTCCGATCGTGTCCGGCTATGTGCTGTGGGGTTGAGAAACGTTGGCAGCAGAATAAGTTTTTTCTTGATGCTCTCCAAAAGCCTCTTGCATCCATCGTCATTTTTGCGCTCATAGTCCATCTTCAGCTTCAGGAATTCCTCCGCCACTTTGCGAACGGTGAGGCCAATTTCGTATTCCTCCGCCATGACCCTCCAGTCCCAACCCTCTTTTTTTTCTGCGTGTGTGTGTGTGTGTGTGTTTTTCTCTTCCTTTTCCCGTTGGATTTTTTCCTCCCACTGCTTTCTACTCTGTTTGTGTTCCCTCGCGTAGTTTTCTTCTATTCGCCCTGCTTTCTGTTCATCCCAGAGATAGAAAGAGAGAAAGAGATTTAAATAAATAAATAAATGAGATGGCACCTCTCTTATTCCGTCAACGGACACAACGTCAACACACTTGTCGGACAATTCGATCGTCGTTCGCTTCACAAATGACGTTATTTTTTTTTCCCCAGCAGCTTCGGCAAATAAAAAAAAAAAGGTAAACAAATAAATAAAAGAACCACCAAGCATCATGGCTGCGTGTATAATATGTAAAACATACACATATGCCACCGTATATGTTAAAGGAATTCGAACAAACCTTCCCCTTCCCCCAAACAAACAAACAAAAACACAAATACACACGCGTACACACACACACAAAAAAAAAAAAAAAAACTAAAAACATATATATATATACATATAAATTGTGAAAAGAACAATATGACGTTGTTATTCAAAGAACAAAGTGGGGCCACAGGCAAGAATGATGCCGGCACCCCTGCCCTCCATCTGAGTGTCACTCACATGGTGGGGCCAAGCGGCGCTGACTGTAGGAGAAACAGAGACTTGTGAACGTTTCGCGGGAGGACCGCTGCACAATTGCTGCGGCTGCCCGCTTTCGCTCCTGTGTCGACGTAATGAACGTGTGACACAAGAGCCTGGTGTAGAATTAACCTTCGGCAGCTCCACCACCGCCAAAATATCTTCCGCATTAGTGGGTGATGCGTCACTCGTAACGGTGTAAAGTGGATGAAGTTGCACCTCTTCTTTCTGTCGTTGTTGTTGTTGTTGTTGTTGTTGTTGTTGTTCCTGTGGCTTTCTTCGTCCTCGTATGTAACATGGTTCTTCATTATCTTCATGGACTCGACTGGCCAAATCCGCATGGTTAGTGGCTTCCAGGCCCATGTTCGATGTCGCCGTAATGTTTCTGATAAGCATTAAAGCATCAACATCTTTGTTGTCTGTGTCACCCCCTTCCCCGGTGAGAGCCTGAGATGCCTGGGAGAGCGGCAATGGGGTTCCGCGTGCTTTTCCTCCCGTCTCTCCCTCCACTGCCGTCACTGCAGCCAATGCCTCCACAGCATTGGATAGGACCTGAGGACTTCGACTTACAAAACGCACACGGCGTGCCTGCCTATCTTTTGCCCTGTCGCACGCAGTTAGAAGCTGCTGCGCCATTTCAAGAGTCTCAACAGACTCCGCGGAGGAAGTACTGGCGAAAGATATTGAAGAAACCGCGTCAATATCGATTGAGAGCAATGTATCTTTCCTTTGCTTCGCGTTGCTCTTCTCACTGCGGTGTTTGCCTACAGAGTCTCCGCCACCGACGGTGTATTGAAGGTGTCGTCTCTCTTCTGTAATGCATGGAGATGGCGACAAAACTCCCTCACTGTCCGTCTTCCCATCGGCTTCACGTGTAATATGCAGCTGCCACGGGCCAGAGAACGACGATGGCGGTAAGCCTGCAATTACAGTAACGGGGCCAATACGCTGCAGCAGCTGCTTCAGTTCCTCCTCCTTCTGTTGCACCTTCTCCTTTAGCTCTCGCTCGTACACCTCCAAGTCATTTATAAGGGACTTGAGGTGATGCGTCGTCCTCATTGCTAACAAAACGCCACATACACAGGAAACGACAAACAAAAGCCATATATTTCCACCACATCGCTGCAGAGGCAAAAACAGGCTGCTGTCCCACCACCACCACCACCACCACCAACACCACGTTGAGCAACCCAAAATTGGTGTGAGAAACATATAAAAAAGTAACAAACAAACCAAAAAAGAAAAAAGAAATAATAATAATAATAATAAATTATCGAATAAAAGCACTCCAACTCAAATTTAACCTCCAATAACTATGCATTTTCATGCGTGTACATACATATTTATATTTTCAAGTATTTATACATGTGGGATAAGTGTATGTATCTATGTTTATGCATATAAACTGCTTTATATATTCAAAAAGGGAAAGGCAGAAAACACGCCACACACAATTGCAATAAACCAAACCAAAACAATGCCCAACTACCCGCAACGCAAAAACAAAAACAAAAGCAAAAAAAAAGGAGAAAAGAGCAAAAGCAAAATAACCAAAAGATACACACACAAAAAAAAAAAAAAAAAGTGTGCGGATTGGACAATAACGGGATTATGCCTTCCGCAGTTCCACTATGCGACCCAAATACCTCAGGGCAGACCTTCGAAGAAATTCCTCGTATATTCTTTTTTCTTCTTCGGATAAATATTCCCGATTAGCATTCCGTTTCTCACCACAAAACACACCACCCTGACGAAACTTGGACGCCTCTTTCACAGAAGCAGCGGCGTTATAATTCACTTTATTCAGCTTTAAAGGAGGCAGTGCTTTCTCGCCACAGTGGATATGGTTAGCAGGGCTACTGTTCGAGCAGCTTTTTATCTTGTTTTTATCTGAATGCGTTGATATGGTCAAAATGCTGTTATGCGGTGTATCCCTGTGGGCGACGTTTTGTGACAAAATCCCCGTGACTAAATTGCATGACGGGAGGCTCAATGAATCCGCCGGCTTCTTCTCATTCACAAATAGCGCCGGCGAAGAATTCGTCGACGGCGAATTCCGCAGTGGTGGCAGGTGTTCAATTGAAGCCTTTGGAGCGTTGGAAACCGGTGCACTTTTCGAAATTTGTGAATTCCCACAGGGAATTCTACGCAGCAGACTGGGAAGTTCTGGCTGTTCCGCATCCTCCGAGTGTTCACGGGCAAGAAGCACATCCCCACCGATGATTTCGCTTGAAATGTTCGGAGTGATGGTTGAAGTTTCAAGGGGTTCCACGTACGCCTTCGCCACCGGGGAATCCTTAACGTCGTCCGCCTTCACCCGCAACTCCTCACTCTCGGCATCACCCGCCAGGTGCAACAGAAATTGATCCGACCCTTTTGGTGAATATTTGGCATCAAGCACAACACCAACTTCTTTACGCTCTCTTTCAGTGGGGGCCGAATGGTCGGATTTCATTGTGTCCGTTACCTGCAGCATCCATTTGGCGTATTTACTAATCAATTCATTTCTTTCCGCCGATTCACGGGAAAACAGTTGTTCCATTTCAGCATGCCACTGCATGCAAACCAACTCTTCCCCAGCAACATCGTTACTCGCATCATTTTCCACACACGAAAGTTCTCCAATCTCCTTTGTTCTCAGATCGTGATGATGGTTCTTCACCTCTACATTGAATCCATAAACGTAGGGTGAATCCGGCGGAGCATAAGCTTTAAGAGAGCCCAAAGAAGCTCCATCCGAAAAGGAAAGTTCCTCTCCAAAGTTTTCAAGACCACTTGGACTGAGAGGGGACACGTTCCTCGAGTGCTCCTGCTGAATAGATGCGTTGTCCCAGCCCATATATCGCAACAAGTCAATCATGGTCTGGCCTTCGTGATTCGTCGCCATGACATCCGCTCCGCTCCGCAAAAGCTGCCGGATGATGTTTGAGTGCCCACAAATCGCCGCACAATGAAGTGGAGTCGCCCCATTCATGTTAACCACATTCACATCAGCTTGAGCAAGAAGAAGATGTGTCACGGCATTTAGTTTACCAAGCGCTGCAGCCCAGTGAAGTGCCGCATTGCCCCATGAATCTCTCACGTTGATGTCATCACACGTATTCATCCAATCGAATAAAAGGGACTCATTACCATCTTTTATTACATTTACTACACGCTTCATAGCTCCATCATGATCAATGGAACGCAGTGCTGCCCTTTGCTTCCACACGATGCCTTTCGCATGCACAAACTCCTTGAAGGACATGTAAACTGCCTTGCAAATTGGATCTCACCCTCCCTTTCTTCACTTGCCACCACCACAACAACAGCGACCAAAAAAAGAAATAAAAATGTGAGAGGAAAAAAAAGAAAACAAAAAACGAGGGATAAAAAAACTTCCCCAATGCCAAACGCTGACTGCTCACGGGCTGAAACATCCTCTGCCAAAAAAAAAAAAAAAAAAAGAAAAAAACTCGTTCAAAGAGAAAAAGAAACAAAAACACGCAGCATATTTCATGGCAAAGACGCCATGTTTCGTTTTCTTCGTTTGTTATTTAATTATTAAAAGAGCATTTGTCAATCTCGTGGAGGTATACGAAAGGTACGGTCGTTCAAGCCGCGAGCGGCTGTTTTAAAGGCAACAGTTTCACGAAAAGCATTCATCATCGTACGCTCAATCGTTGTTTCTGAAATTGTAATGGAACAGGGAAAACAAACTTGGCTGCCACCTGCATCCGTATTCCCCTCGCGGTCTTCAGGCAAATTCCAACCGCATCCTCTACCTTGAATGAGTGTGGCCAAAACGCCTTGCATCGTACGGCCTTGTGAGGCAGATGTGCCCGTTGCATTGTCGTTGGGCACAGTATGCGGGACAAGGAACAGGTAATGGAAAGGACGGAAATCAATCAACAGACTGTCCGGCCAATGATTGGAAAAGTATTTTTTCAACTGCTCCATTGCTCCCGAGTAATTTGAGCAGTCCAACCTCAGCATTTCCTGCGATCGTGAGACGTCGATGGAAACATAAAGTCCTCTCCTGTACTTTTGGTTCCACTGAGCCGGAGTCCCTATGAAACGCATCATGCCCTCATCCAAAACCAAAACACGATCGCCAATCATCTCAACGTCGTCGGGGTGCTTCGACGAGAAGACCGTCGTGGTCCCCTGCGGCGCCGAACGGATCGCTGCCCAAACGTGGCGTCTTGAACATGGATCCAGTGACTCCGTTGCATCATCAAGAATTAAAACAGGAGGGTAACCGATAAGGGCTGCCGCCAAAAGCACACGTCGCTGTACGGATGCATTAAGCGTTCTCATGGAACGATGCATGTAGGGCCAAATACCCAGTGTACGTATGAGATAAAGCAGGTGTTTCCTACGATTAGCATCACGTCGGAGTAAACGAAGGTCTGCCATAATATGGAGGAAAAGATACGGTGTAATGTTGCTACGGTTGAAAAACAATGATTCCGTGAGGTATCCCATAAAACCGTTTGCGGCAAGTTTAGAGGCCGCTCGTCGTGTTGTACAGTGGCCATGCAGATACACATCGCCATGGGAAGGAAGCATTTGACCGGAAAGACACCGCAAAAGGGTCGTCTTACCGCTCCCATTAATGCCAACCACCACAAGGGTTTCACTCTGCAAACTGAGAGTCACATTCTGCAAGGCATACACATCATTGCACAACTTCCAAACTGTTGAGGCGCGAATATCGTCGCCCGGGAAGTGCTTCTCCCGCTCTTCCGCAACACAATCATCCTCCGAGGCAAAAAGACGCGATGAATCCTTCCAGCGATAAAATGACTCATCGCCAGAAACTTCATTGCTCTCATCGTGAGATGAAAATAAAGAATTGAGAAATTTCTGTACCAGTGTATAAATCCGGGAATTAACTTGATCTCGGAAAAACACGCGCACACTCACCTCAGCAGATGTCTCGTAAAATATCATGCAGACAAACAACAGCGTTAAAATCATTGCGGGTTGCATGCGAAACAACACATCCAAATCCTCATTGAACTCATTGGCCAAAACGTAGTTCATAAAGGACTCACCAAGATTATAAAAAGGAAAGAATCGCATCAGGATAGAAAATTGTTCATTCAGCTCTATTGCAGAACATGTCAGAGGATTTATCGGTAAGAAACGCACTGTGCATGACGAAATCAAAAAGGCAAAACCTGTAAATATTGTAAATACCGTAATAAAATACTGAGCCGTAATGCCGTTTTTAAAAAACCGGCTTAGAAAATAAGATAGCATGATCGTACTGGAGCCAAACACGACCATAACGCCAAAAATAGCAAGCAAATTACCCAAAGTCATGCCACGGGAAATATGGTTGGAGGCAAACAAAAAAATGGTAATAAGCACCAAAATAAAAAAAGTAAAAAAGTCGTATGTGAAGTTTGCCATCCAAAACGCAACCGGCCGAAGTGACGAACTGTAAAGCACCTGAAGAAATCCGGTACGACGCTGCTCAACAAGAGCCGTGACCATTCGACTACCGTAAAATGCAAATGGAAGCAATAGCAAAAGTGTACCCATGACATCAACAGATGTCGTTGGTAAATTCTTACGTACTTTGCCCATAAAATCATTTTCGCTCAACACGCCAACAGAGGCACTGATAATTCCTGTTGTCTCATTACGTGCGACCCAAAGCCGCATCATTCCCAACAACTCCATATATGCCAATGGACTTAGCGGATACGAGGTGTTACAGAGCAAAACATCCGTCACCCATGGAAATAATGAGGGCTGGGCTGCGCTGTTCACCACATCTACAATCGGCCCTTGCAATGCAAAGGCACCAAAGGCAAATGTCTCCGTTGACAAACGACGCTGCGCCAAAAACCGATCGACGCCCACACTGCTCTTTTCTGTCGGAGGCAGGGATGTATCATTTAATGGATAAAATTTGGTACGTGTCCCGGGTATGGTAATGGAAGGTAACCGCTCGACAATGGATTGGTAGGGTGATCCGTTCATATTAAAGTCAATGTAAAACGTATCGCTTGGGTAAGAATGTAACTGCCAGTTAAGAACAGAAACATTACCAATCCTCCTCAGATTCAAACTCCTATCCAATGATGAAGTCCCAGCTAAAAACGTCAGAAGTGGCACCAGCGTCATGATCAATCCATAGTGAGGACTCAATAAGGATTCAAATAAACGAAAACCAAAGAGGGCCAAAAAAGCACGAACGAACACTTTCGGATCACGTGCCCCACGTTCCTCGCTGGAGCCCACCATGCCTCTTTCTACCAGAACGCTGTCGTTTATTTCTCTCTCGGAAGCGGATGGCATCAACGCGTAGGCGTCTTCCGCTACGGGACCTTCTGTTGCTGGGTCATGGAGATCATGAGACTCTCGAAGATTCAACATGCGTGTTAAGCGGACAAAGGACTCACCCAAGCTTGCATCTGAAACGGTGATGTTTGAGATGAGACCGGACTCCCTCGCGGACCTCAATTCCGTCAGCATAACCGGCAGTGTATGAAGGGCAACACGTTCCGTCACCTGAAAAGATATTTCGTGGCCAACATTACTTACGAGTATCGCATCTGGAGCCACGGAGCGAACTCGATTTAAAATGGTTTCCAGTTCAGTATTTGCAGCACGACAGACAGTCACAACCCAACCACCTCTTAGTTTCCATCGAAGGTATTCGGGAGTTCCTGTGAGGCAGACTCTCCCGCCGTGAAGAACAGTAATATGGTCAGCAAAGACATCCACGTCCTCCACTTCACTGGTGGAGACGACAATACATCGTCCCCTCGCATTCTGAGAAAGAAGATGCCAAATTTCTTGTCGTGATGAAATATCCGTGGAGGCAGTTGGTTCGTCAAAAAATATCGTATGCGATCCACCAGCCAGGGCCATGGCAACAGCAAGCTTCCGGGCCACTCCAGTCGTTAGGCGTCCAGCCCGTTCACGACGCAAATCTGTAAGTTGCATTGCAGAAAGGAGTATTTTCTCCTCCGCTCTCAACTCGGCAGGATCAGATATGTGCCCTTTCAGTAGTTGAACAAAGCGAATGTTTTCAGGAACAGTTAAATTCTCCCAAAAGACACTTTTCTGGAGACAGACTCCAATATCATTACGCCGACAGGACCAAACGTTTTTCCCATCTATCCGAACTTCACCCTGAGGCAAATCACATGCTCCCATCAAAGTTTCCAACAGGCGACTCTTTCCAGAAACGGCTTCACCTATGATGCAATTAAGTCGGTTTCGGTAAAAATCTGCACGTGGGACGTACAACATCGGAAATTTTCCCACGGCGGTGTGAAAGAGATCACGGACGGTGATAGATGCATACCAATCACTCGGAACCGGTGGAGAAACTTGCGACTGTGATGGAGCACCAGACTCTTGCTTCGCTGAAGAAATAATTGGGGCGCCCGCCTCCTGAGCATTTTCAACCGAACGAGTTCCGGGTTCCCTTCCAGCTTCTGAATGATATTGAAAATCAATCGAGGGGCCTCCTTCGACCGCATTACTTCTGGCTGTATTGCTGACTCCACCAATATTGAACTCCATATTTGATTCCTGAACCTTGCGTGTATCTGTTCCCTCTTCATCAGCTTCTCCAGCGTGTACTGGAGCAGCGCTGGAAGACGGCACTTCATTCCTTTTATAAAATTGTGCAATGCGATGGCTTTGTTGCTCCACATACTTGTCCACAGATCCCACGTAAGATGTGCAGCGTCGAAATAGGCGTTCTAGAGCCGAATTGGGAATAAATAAATGTTCCAAGATAAATGCCAAGACCAAATACAACATTAACAGACCAAAAAGGGCCCATGTTGCCTCTTGAAGTCTGTTTGATTGTGTGATGTGGTTCTGGTCCAACTGAGCGACTTGGGTGTAATATGCAATTGCCTTGGCAAAAACCGTCGGTGGGAGTAGCATGGATGCGCCACCCAGTTCTGTGGGTCGACCGTCGACAAGAGCAGGTGTGACAAAGAGAAAGAGAATAAACGGTGTTGCGACGATGGCCGCACGCTCTCCTGGCACAATTACTCCAATGACAAACGCCAAAGCACAAAGACTCAGAGAATACATGTAGACCAAGGTGTACAGAGTTGAAGTCGGTATGTCAATACAAAACGCCACAGCAATTGTCAGAAAAACAGATGCGGTAATGGAGATACCGAAAGCCATAAGAAGTTTACTCACTAATATTGCTATGGGATGCACCCCAATAAGAATGAGGTACTTTTTTTGCCATGTCTCCCGTTCGTGCACAATGGATTGCACAATGGCCGCAAATGGAAAGTAAAATGCAATGGCCATCACCAACCCCACAAACGGCCCTCCCGTTAAGAAGAACATCCGTTGATAATATCCATTTGTGGGAAATGCCTGAACCACCACACCGTTTACCAAAGTTTTATAGATATCATGTACCTCCCGACAGTAGTATGTGGCGGCAGGAACCATCTGCCGCACGGCCTTACGAGAAAACAACTTCGGCAAAATATCCTTTACAAATTCTGTAGCCTTGCAGCTAGAGCTGAAAAGACGTGAGTTCAAGTAAAGACATGCGAATGGAAGCATGCCATTTTGAAATGCCTCATCCAATGGACAGATTGATTCATACTCATCTTCACATGCTAAAAGAGTATCCGTAACCATGCGACACTCCCCAGGAATAAGACTGGGTTTCTTGTTGATCTTCTTCATACACATCTGAATATTATTCGTTTTTATGCCCTCCGAAGAACATATATCCATGATAATATAAGAGCATTTAGCCGTCAACATCGTTTGCTGCACTGTTTGAAGAAAATGGTTTCCAGGGCACGCGGAAGAAATAGCTTCCGCACATTTAGGCAATGCAGACGGAATCGCGGTAAGAAGCTCATATGCGTTACCGTCCTCACACACCTTAGCCTCGAGAGGACACTTTTTAATAAATTCCAATGCGCTGTGACAGACCAGCGACATGTTCGTCCCTGCTGCGTCCAATTCCTCAAGACATTTCAAGAGAAGCTCTGTGTTGTTGGCATCTTCACAAAATGCCCCCACTTCATATAGGCAGGGGGCATACATAGCATTCAACTCCGTGAAGGGTTCTGCAGAAATAGTTAGAATAGGTCCATGAGCAGCAGCCCTTTCAATTGTTTCGCGTTGAGTCGTATTCAGTGGCGCTTCAAACATGTCTTTGGTTGCGTTATGCACGGTCGGGGCGGCACTACAAATATAATCCGCAAAAGGGGTCAATGGCAAATTTTCACGCGCCCGTGGGGAAGCGGCGAGGGAAGTGAAGTACGTATTGAGTTCGTACTGAAGCGACAACACCCCGTTGTAGGCGTAATTGGCGTACTCCTTTCCCAGGCCCTGCGCAAACGTCTCCAGCGTCTTCCGAGTTTGCATGGCCGCTTCGTTGACAAAAATACTGTAACGGAATTCAGGAGGTTGCACCGTGACTTGGTCCAATCGTACGAGGGCCCACAGTGCCTGTCCCTGCCGAGCGTCTGCCGTTCCCAGCAGTGACATTGCCCTCGACACATTGTCAAAGACGCAGGTGCTGTTTTCCCCTCCAAAAATGTCGGATTGACAAATGATAGTCGAAGCAAAGAACTTGGTCGTCACGTTAAGATATTCGACAAGCTTCTCCCCTGCCGTTGCGAGCTCCGGGTTTCCGCTTTCTCCGACAGCAAACGCCAGCTTTCCAGGATAAAAAATAAATTTAATAAGGGGCTCATCATGCATCATGCGCTTTATCCCCCGTTCTCCAATGGCAACACGAGCTGCCTCCATCATGGATGCGTATCGGTCCAACGTTGGGACCTGAAAGGGTGATGCGGCGTAACGATTCGAGAGAAGTGCGCGTGCCACCTCTCGCCGTATCCTCGACGCGTTCCACGCCCTTCCAGCACGACTGTGGCGGTAACGATTGTTCGTGAGTTCGCGCAGCTCCGCCAGTGTCAAGGCGTAGTCGTGAAAAAAAGAGGTCATGTTCAATTCGGAAAACACACCACGCCACTGACTAACCGCCTCCAAATCCGCCTCCCAGTCGTTGGTGACGAGGCTCTCATTGGGAATTTTGTGTTGGAACGTCACATCCGGCAGACGTGAGTGGTTAAACGAGTCGATCCACACGACAGGGCTCAGTTCTACGGCGTAGAAAAGAATGAAAATCATGACTGCCGGCGCCAAAATCTCCATCACCGCCTTCCACGGCCGGCGCGCACGCTCAAGAGACTCCTTCCACAGCAGAGTCAGAAGCTGACAAAGAAATACCCACACATAAAAACCGCGGCTGCGCCGCCCACTCTCCGCCGCAACAGGAGATTCATAAGGAGAACTTCCCTGGTCTACCGCGCAAGGAGAGTTTTCCATCATTCAGCCTTACAAAGAGCAAAAAATTGTTCTGTAAAAAGAAAAAAAAACGAGGCTTCAGAGCAAGAAAAAAAAAAAAATAAAAAAAAAATGAAATAAAATACAAAAAAAGCTCAGAAGGAAAACGGCCAGGCCACCCCAATACACGTGCGCGGAGGCATGTATGTACAAATAACAAATATAGACAATTATTAACAGTGCAACAGAAAAAAGAGGAGAGGGGTGTATTCAGTTAAGCACTCATTCCACACAGAGTCACAAGCATGACGCCGCAAGGATACACATACTGCATCAATAATGGCGTGCCTCCAGTACATGCGTAAAGGCCAGCGTAACATGCTGACAAAAGGACAGGCCAATATTCACTTAACATAAGATAAATGCCCCTCTCTTGTTTCTTCTTTTCCTCTTGTCGTTGGCGCCGTTGGAAGCATCGCTCTTCCGCCTCCCTCAATTTCCAACGCTCCTCCTCTGCCATTGCTTCCGGGCTCAAGAGGCATGAATCGTCAGGCTCACCCAAGTCCCGCCAGAGGTCCTGATCGCAGTCAGAGCTCGTTTCATCGTCCGATGTGGTCTCCACTTCACTGCGGTCCTCTTCTTCGTCAACCTCATCCTTGACCGAATTCAGCGCGAAGAAGTAGATGATCCCACTGCAGGCTAAAAAAATAATTAAGATCGTTGTCATCAAAGATGCCAGTGCCACCCATTGACAACACTCCCATTCATTCTCGGTCACACGTCCATTTTCTTCAACGCCTTGAAATGTGGCGCCTGGAATACCGCCGGTAACGTGAGGAGTAACAGAAGAAGCGGAGGACGCCACTGGAAGTTGCAACTCCTCACACATTTCCTGCACGTTCTTCACTCGGAACACGTAGAGCATCGAGGGGCGGAGTTGATTCACCCAACGGCTAAGTATTCCGTCGGGAAGCGGCAGCATGTGTCTTCGCCAGAGCACTCGCGATGGAAGGAAAATGTAAGAGAATAGACGATTAACCAAGTCAAACAGCAGCCACGTTGCCACACAGTAATGAAGTTGACGTACCCACCACAATGATACAGCGGGGGCAAATGTTTTTCCAGCGATCGGTGGCCTTGTGCCACGCACTGTAGGCCGAAACACCCCAAATACGACGAAAGAAACACCCAACACAAATGTCCACGTCAACAAAAACGCGGAAGAAGGTGGTCCTGCATCTGTGAAGAAAACGGTCATCTCTGCAGACCGCAGTGTCCTACACCCCTGCATAACAACAACAACAAAAACAAAAAACAAAAAAAAAAAAAAACTAATGTAAATAGTAAGTGCGTTGGGAGCATATAACAAAAAAAAAAGAATGCAAATCCAAATAATCAACAATAAGAAAAGGAATACGGCACCAAAAGAAAACTCACAAAGCCAACGATAGAATGTGCATCTTCCTCACTCTCCGGCCAATCTTCTTACTCTGTCGCTGCGCGGCATAAACTGCACAGACAAGAAGTGTCGCTAAACTGTCCTAGAATAGCTTCCTGTGTGCGTAGGCATGGGACATTGGGGAAACAAAAACGATAAAGTTCGTCAAGAGTAACGCGACCCTTCTGACGCACATGAAAGTTCTCAATCTCATGAAGAAGCGGTACGCTAAGACGTATCCGGTTGGCAAGAACCCACACAACAGTTCCCTTCAAAAAGCCTGGACGCATATCAGCTACAATAGCGGCGCCTGGAGAAAAGACAGGAAGTGGCGTGGAGGTAAGAAAAGATGGGGAGTCGGCCGAGGCAATGGAAAGAATTGGATGCATACCAACCGGGAGACGTTCATTACTCTTGTAAGAGGCGTACATCTGGTCTCGATAGTTGGCCTCTGCCTGAATGAACTCTTCTATCAGCAAATATTTCATAGGGTCCGTGGAGGCGTGAGCATAGCGATTAAAATCAACCCGTATGGCGTCCAAAATGTCACTATCAATCTCCTTCATCTCATACTGCTCCAGTGTAACACGTAAAATATTTGGATACCACACCTCCAGCACATCAAGAAAGTGCGGTGGGTCATGCAGTTGACAGGCAACCGCATAGTTGGCTGCTGTAAACTTCTCCCCACCGATACGGTACCCATTAGCCTCAAGATCTCGCAGGTGTAACGCCGGCCGGTGATATTCCGTGCCACATGACTGGGGTAAACCACCAGACACGTGGTAGTATCCCATGCCGTCCGCTTCCTCAATGCCGTTAAGGAAGCCCCTAAAACGAAAAAGGTCAAAAGGTGAGATAAATTCTTGCATCATGCGGGCAATATCATGTGGCGAAACGTTCGGATACCAAGCCGAAATAATATCAAGAAACTCCACGCAGTCCTTCTCATCCGAATAAAACTTAAGTAGCATATCCATGTTGCTTTCAGGCCATACTGCACGGAGTTCCTTCATTGGAAGAAGTCCACACCCCACCACATCCAAGGATTCAAAACCCAACTTTAATTGCATAAACTGTTCAAAGGGAAGATCAAACGTGTCCTCCTTCACCGTCCAATGTATAATGTCCACAGACGCTAAATACCCCTTTGTTCTAAAAGGAATAAATGAAACAGGTTTCTTTGTACGATTGACTTTTGGAATTAATTTTGGAACACCAACTAGTTTGTCATCCCGCCACCAAGTTTCGTACTGAATTTCTCTCCCATTCACTGTCTGAGTTGTCACACCACGTCCATGTCTCTTGCCTTCTTGAAACGTGCAGGAAAAAGTATCCCCATTTGCATAAAAAATGACTCCCTTCCCATGGCGTTTACCTTTTTGCCACTCACCTTCGTAACGGTACGCATTTTTTTTTGGGTTGTACAACACAACACCATCTCCCTCTGGAGTGCCGTTCACATAATGCGCATCCATGGCCGCCCTGCAGGCAAACACTTCGTAGCCACTTCCCTCTGGTGTATCATCACGCCATTCACCTGTGTATTTGTATCCTTTGGGAGTAGAGATGCAACCTATGCCCTTACGTTTGTTATGTTGCCATTTCCCTTCGTAGTACGCACCGTTGGGGTAGATAAGTACCCCGTGGCCACACCGCGTGGCACCACGAGGATCTGTCGGATCATTCGTCTCCTTCACTCTCCTCATTTGACCCTCGTAAATGTATTCACGAAATCCGTGCTCGTATGGGGTGTTGGCAAACAAATTAGCTTCATCCAGACTAAATAAATTTTTTTCTCCACGGGAAACACGAACCGCCATCTTTTTGTCATTTGATGCAACCTTGGAAGGAGCAATCCACACCAACTTTCCCTCCCGCAAACTGTCCTTCTTGAGAGTGTAATGTCGTTCAGGTGGGTGAACTTCACCTGCTGACGTCTCCCTCTCCATCTGACGCCGCACTCGTTGTATGACGCTCCCACAACACACCATGACGATTGACTGGTGATCCTCCCTTCTTCTTTCCATGCCCCACAAATAAGGGAATAGCGGCGATAACGAGGAGGAGGGGGTGAAAGAGAGAGAGAAAGAGAGATCAATCAATGACTAAAGCAACGCTACTAAAAACAATTTCTGGATGAAGAAAATTCACTAAACGAATCCAATGACAAAAGATGACTCGCCGCAAAAAAATTATATGTATTTTTTTTTTTTTTTTTCGTATCGCCTCACGGACAAAATGACAACATAAGATATGAAAAGCGCATCTCGTAACTCCGAATAGCCGTAAAAAAAAAAAAAAAAACGTTCATGGAGTTGGCAATAAAAAAAAAAAAAAAAAAGAAAGAGAGAGAGAGAGGGCTTCAGGTTCAATTGCTTTCCAAACTCCCTTCTCTGTATCTATTTCGCTCGTTGCCAACACGGTGCGAACTCACTTGTCATATCCGGCTGTGTTTCTTGTGAATATGTTCAATTTCTCTCCCATTAATTCTGCGGCAAAAATTTCTCGTGCGTCGCATCCTCATTCAAGATCACGCATCAACTGCACATAATTCATAGAAAATTGCGCCAATTGCCCCCTTTCGTGATGATAAATTCAAACCGACTCAAGAAGCATCGTATTTCCCCCCATCCTCGAACAGTGTGGTGCAGAAAAATCTTAGCCGCACAACAACACACGGCACAGATGAGTTAACAAAGGCACTTCAGCACGCCTCTCGAACACACTTGAAACTTGAAAGGAAAAAACCATGACGCCAAAAAATTGCCCGATACGTCAAATCCTCCCATGACAGAAGTTCAACAACAGCAACCTTGACGTGGATACATGACGTCTAGTTATTCCTGTCGGTAGATCTACTGTTGTTGGGCCTGCCGTAGATTTTTTTGAGTTTTCTGAAAAGTCATCGGCGATCTACTTCACCCGTGGGACTGACAATGGAAGCCGCATAAAATAAAGTAACTCTTTTTAACAGGAAACAGAAATGGCCGCAAAAACAAGGCTGCCACTCATGCAGAATTCAGCAACCACAGAGAACGTGTTACCATCGCTCCCACCAGAATGTAAAGAGAATTTAAAAAGGCAAACATAGTAATATTCGCTACAAGGGTATATATACCAAAAAAGAAATTCTTCATGGAAGAACTCTTATAAGTGGAAAGAGCGCTCCCTCAAAAAAGATGCGAAGCGCTTCTTGGTCGCATGTTGCCGTGCTAATATTCCCGTTTGTGATCAGAATGGGCGGCAGACCGCTGTGCCCACGACTAAGCCACAACAATTCCTTCCAACCCAGAGAAGATATACGAAACGAGCCAACAGCCCTACGGGCGCCATCCCCCCTTTTTTTCTCCTCAGCGTCAACCCCATCAACCCCGTTGTTTTTGTGCAAATTTGACCCAGCATCATCAAAGTGAATCTTTGACAGCAAAAATGTTTCCAACTTCTTCGAATCACGTACTTTGCTAGCATCCAAAAAGGAACACTCTTCATGCAGTGCCCGAAGAAATGGAACGGCCGAGTAGCATTCATTTGGCTGCCCCAAAGTGACGCTTACATTAACAGATGCCAGCTGGTCAGCCAATTCCCGACTGATCCACCGCAGCACCAGCTCATGCACCTTCCCTTGACTTTCGGCCCGCGAGGATTCATGGATAAAAAAATTAACAAATCCAAATTTTCGTTCAAGCGGCTCCTTAAACATGTTAAGTTGATGCGGAACAATACGGCATCCAATGGCCTCCAGTTCCTTCACAATAGGGCTCTCTGGGTTCGGCACCACCATGGGTGCCACCTCTGACAACGCCAACGTCATCGGAACATTGGAGAGAACACAATGTATGTAATGGATGGCCGTTTCAGCATTAAAGTTTAATGACTCAAGTGCTGCCATTGCTAAAAATAAAATAAAAGTACAAAAAAGGCGATAGCCGGAGACACCTGTAAAGAAACTACTTGTGGCACCCCCAAAACCTTGCTATTGGCAGCTAAGAAGTTCAGAGGGGCGGTAAAAAAAAAAAGAAAAAAAAAGACATTGAATTACCCACATGTGCAATGAATGTACATGTACACATGTCCGCAAGAAGAAAAACCAATCAAAAAAAGGGAAATGCACTTGTATATAAAAAAATTATTCTTCTCCGTTTCTTTTTTTTTCTTGACCATCCCAATAATAAAAAGACGCCACTGCAGCATCCATCCGTTCCAATCTATAAAGAAATTTTTATCCTTCGTCACCATCGCCGCCTACGCCGGGTGGCACACCACGCGTTGAGCACACTCACCGTACCCTTTATACCTGTAACGTCTATACCACGTCCTTTCATTTCTTCGTAAAGCTCCATTATCACGGCGTTTGAATCACAACCTTGTGGTGGGTGGTACTTCGCAACTTCCAGCAGCGTTTGATATAATCTTTGTGTCCCTTTGACACGTCGCTCCATAGCCTCATCATACAATGCCCATAAAAGCTGCCACTCCTGCAGGTATTTGCAGCGAAAAATTAGAATCTCGTACGTGCGTCCATTGGGAGAAACCCGCCAGTGTGGCGGCAGCAGTTTCACTTGCTTTTTTTTTTTTCCTTGTTCCCCGTCTGTATTATTTGTGTCTTTAATTTCTCCTTCTGTAGGGGCATTTGCTAGCGCCAACGGTGCTCCACGGAATTCAAGAAGCACATTTTGAAATTTCTCATCTGCCTTTTCGTCCCCACGGGCAATTTGAAGCATTTCATTGTAGACAACAGCCGAACGCTCCTCTTCAGGGCATTGTTCAAACCACTGGCAGGCACGTTCAAACCTTTGTTTTCGGTGAGCATCATATTCCTCCTTTGTTCCAACAACAGTACCTGTCTTGTCATGGGGAGTCAAGATATAATGAGGCTGCCGTAGAGCGGCAATAAGTGCGCCAAAAATTTCTCCTCCACGTGGCATTTGTAATTTGTCCATCATCTGAAGCACCCGTGCGGTTGATTCCTCTGAATTACATCGCCGCAAAAGACCACTAAAGTCGCCCACTTTAAGACCCCCCTCATTCAACGGAACAACCTCGCCCTTATCCTCTACCCTTTCGCGACCATTTTTCACCAATTCAGCTAGACGAGCCGCACGAGTCAATTCTTTGTTGCGTCCATCCAACGAAAGTTCCTTCTTTTTGGCTAATTCTTCCAATTCCAGTAAAAATGTTGTGCGAAATGTTTTTATTCGATCCTCCGTATGCCTATTGCTCTCTTTAAGAGGGGAAACGATGTCTGGTAATGTAGTATTGCGAGCCAGTTTCATGCATTGATTTAGAGTCCGTGCATCCATGTGAATTTCAACAAACCCAATGCGCTTCATCACATCCCACACTCTTTCAGCCTCCGCCACACGATGTTTACTAAGCAACAACTTCAACAGTAGATAGAAATGACCACCACTCCACCGTAGTACCCCAGGATGCATGGATGAGCCGGTAGAATCGGAGCGTGGAGGCGTCGTGGCGTTAATGCGACGCAGTGTCTCAAGCCTCTCTGTCTCTTCAGTTTCGGTAACGATAGTAGCAGAAAAAGAGTTTTGTACAGCTTTACAACTGGTCTCTACAGCTGATTCAAAAAGATGCATTGCTTTTACCCAATTTCCGGCCAAGAGACAGTCACGCAAGGCATCCATGAGTCCGTAACGAGCACCTTCGGCCTTACTTTGTTTCCTCACAACGGCAAACGAGTTCGTGGTGTGAGCATCTCTGGCACCCACAATTCCACGAAACATTTGACGCTCCATTCGTTTAGAAGAGTCATCTCTAACATTTTCATCTGTAGCCGGAGCAGAAGGACCGGCAGCACTTGCACTCGATGCGGGCGACAATGATGTGGCGGCGGAAGGGGACTCCTTCTCCCCTTCTGGAATCAAATCCTTTATATTCATACCATCCCCAAACACCGTATCTTTTCGCGCTCGTTCCTTCGCCAAGGCCTCCCTTGTAGCCTTCACCACCGTGTCAAAGTCAATTTCATGGAGGTTGAGCGCAAGATCCAACTTGCTCTGGTCGATACCAAAGGAAACTGTCCCTTTTTTGCCACTCGACCTTGAGGGGCGCAAACTTTCATTGTCCTTTGTTGCAGTTGAGCATCGCCGCAGCTCAATTGTCAGAGCAAACCTGCGAGTAGGCTCTGTAATCCACCGCCGCATTATGAACGCTTCAATCCTCGTGGATCGGTTTCCCCCTTCAACGTTTGTGTATTTGCCCTTCTTTTTTTTTTTTTTTTTAATTCCTTATCCTTCCCCCCTCTCCTCCTTTCTTTGTGTGTACATGTGTGTTTGGGCGGCACAGTGCGGTCGTAAATGAAAACAAAAAGACAAAAATAATTAATAAAAAAAAAAGAAAAACACAAACAAATTCTCCCAGGAAAAAACAAATCAAAGTTTTTATTGATGGTCAACGACAGACACAATTAAACGGGGAACCCAAAGCAAATTTTCAATTAAAAGATATTTTATCTTCTCTCTTCTAGTGGTCTTCTTTCAGTGTATGCATGTATGTACGTGGAGGCCTCAAGCCCTTGTTATGCGTCGGTGTCTTCTCAGCCGCGGCGTCTTCTTTATCCTCCTCAGCGTAAACATGACACAACTGGGTTCGGCTCGCACGCAACGCAGAAAATAAAAAAAAAAAAAAAAGGAAGGAGGGAGGAAAAAGGCGTACATAAACAAATACACTGTCGAAAAAAAAAAAAAAGATCGTTACTTTTCATTTTCTTTGTTTTTCCTTTTTTACTTTTCTGTTTTGATGCATCGTTTCTAAATCTGTTCTAAGCAAAGTACAGTGAAGGAGATAAGGTCTGTTGTCTAGAAAAAAAAACCAAAAAAAGATGGTGTACACGTGGGGGAAACAAGTGAATTACTTCCGTCTGTTTTGTCGTCCTGAAAAACGACGTTTGCGGCGTAAAATATTCTCGCGGCCCTTTCGCGACATGGTCTTCCTCAAGGGTGCACGCGTGGAAGATGCCTTTTTGTTACGGGACGAATGTGACTGTGACGAGCGCCTGGAGTTGTTTGTTTGCGCAACCTCCTTTTTCCCTCCGAACGTTGACGTGACTGCGGAGTTTGCATCCTTATTTGACTCCGCAAGAAAGTGGACGTGCTCTTGTTTTGCCGCTGCCTCGGACCCCGCCATCACCGAGAAACCATGTGCCACTGATCTTCTTGCAGCTTTATTTGCTTTCTTTGCATCTTTTCGTCGTTGCTTCTTCGCACTTTGCCTCGTGACATCGCGCAGGTAACGTTCCCAGTACGTGTAATCGTAATAATGCTTGCGTGGGCGTGCGGCAACACGCTGTGAAATGGAAGAAGTCTCCGTTAACGATTCTGAAAGCTGGCCACTTCCACGGTTCAATGGTGGGGTTTGTGCAACTCCCTCTGTGGCGATGATGTGCTCGAGTTCCTTCCGGGCATCTGGCGAGCAACATTCCATCAGTCGCTCCACTACTGACCTTCTGCTGCCTGTAGACCGTGAGCGACAGCGTGCGGGTGGGCACAACGGGGTTGCTTCCACCTCATGCTCATCAACCGGATACTCCGTTTCACCCGGAATCCCATTCCCAGTATGTTCCTCGTTGAATTTGGAACTCCCCGCGGGAGATATGCAGAGCGACGTTTTGCCGTGATCCTCGCTTGGAGTCTGTGAGAAATGCACAGAAACTTTTTTCCGCGATGAAGGTATTGGTGTCCGAACCTGTGAGCGTAGCGTCACCGGACGCGGTAGCGGGGAAAGATCACAAGACAACAAAGCCATATTATTTGTCTGCGGAGAGGTTGCTGGACCCCGAGAATCTGGCACTTGCAACTGAGGCTTTGGAAGAGGGGAGTATCTTTTCGGCTTCTCAGACGGTGGCGGAGTGTGTGGCTCTTGAATACGCGGCGTGCGCACCACTGGCAATTCACCTGTCACCAGGACCAAACTACTACGCCCTTCCTCACCTCGTCGTTCTCCCAAGCGACGTGGGAGACGTTGAACAATAGAGGAGACTGCCATCTCCTTTCGCGTTGCCTCCAGGAGCCAATACGCCTCCGGTAACTCCAGGCCGGGTGTGGAAGGGGCACTGATGCACTCATAAAAGGCCTGCGATAAGACATCACTCTCCACGTGCGGTTGGGGAACAGGTGGCACAAATTCTTCCGCCGTGAGTTTCTCAAGACGAACTTCCTCCTTTTCTTCATTCTGAGAAGCATCATGCCAGTCGAAGAATAGCTTCCGAGCCTCTCCCATTTCCCCAATCTTTTCTGAGGCTTCCGTCGTTGTGGAGCTGCATTCATACGCGTGCGAACTGTATGTCAAGAACGCAACTGGCTCCGGCTCGACCGCAACGGCCACGTCCAACGCCACCAAAGAAAAAACAACGGATGATGGAGTTGGTGCACCTTCTTCTTGTGCGCCAACCTCTGCCGTGGTAGCAATACAAGTAGCAGTAGTAACAGCAGTATTAGCAACTTCGGAAGGCTGCTCCCTCGTCACCTCCTCGTCCTCTTTCATTTTCACTTCCCCTTCTTCATTTTCCTGCTCATTGGCATGCCCAACGGTAACGGAGGGAGTCCTGAAGACGGTTTCCTTTTCTGGCGAGTGGTAAGAAGAAGGCATTGCAGCTCCAAAAGAAGCAGAAAAAAACACCTCCGATCTTGCAGGGCTTTCACGGGCATCCGCGGGATCACCATCTTTCCCCGTTTCATTTCCCTGCTCTTTCGATTCATTTTCCTCCTCTGCCGTGTGAGAAAAGCGTGGGAAATTCGTTGGCGTAAAAATAGCTTGATTCATGACATCACTGAAACGACGTTGAGGGGTACGGGGCATACGAAACTCACTCACGCGAAAAGGAATGGGCTCCTCTTCCTCCTCTGCCACCGGCAACGCATCTTTCAGTTCTTCACTGTTATGATTCACAGTTTGTGGGAGCGCAAATGGACTGGCATAAAACACCGCCTCTTGTGTCCTTTGCAATTGTGTATTGGGCGCAGTAAAATCCACCGTATTTTCGTTTGCGTCGAATTTCATTGTGGGAAGGGGCAGTGGTGGGGGCGTACGCGAGGCAGACCGTTTCAAAGGTGAGGCAACTCCCCTTGAAGGTGACCCGCTGCACATAAATGGCGCCCTTCGCTCTTCCATATTTGCCTCATTCTTTCGTGGTTGGAAGACTCGTGCCAGCTTTGCGTGCCCTCCCGTCTGTGACGTGGAACGTGCACGCTTCCGTAGTGGTTTTGCCGGGTGTCCTTCCACCGCTTGCAGTGCGGGTACTGGAGACGCCAAACGCGAGTTGGATGCGGAGACACCGCGGTATGACTTGGAACGTGGGAGTGAGGGCTTCCGTCTCGTCGGCTTTGCGCCTGGAGGAAGTGGCAAGCGGCGGCTACGCTCGCGGCTCTGCGGACGCGAACGTGACACCGAGTTCACCATAGGCGCAGAGCGGGACGATTCTTTCACAATGTCTTTCGATGCCAGAACGACGTGTGGCTGTGGAGAGACGCTTTTGCTGTTGCTCCGCCTCAGTGAGCCGGTCGTGCCAAAGTGCATCACTGGCGGCTTCGTGGACTCCCGGCGTATCAACTCCAGGCGTCTTCGCATGTTTTCTTCCTTGTGGAGCTGCTGGGAGCAGGTCTCCATTAGAAAACGCCGTGAAGACCAATTCTCAGGCATCGTCGGCCTCCGTGACACCCACAAAAAGAAAAAAAAAAAAGAAAAAATCTCACACTTATTCTTTTGTCTTCTCAATAATAAAAAAAAAAAAATGAAAAAAAAAAAAAAGAGTGGAAAAAAGGCCAACGTGGAAAAGATGCAAGACACCAATGACGAGTTATCTGAATGACAGACAAAACAACACAAATGACAGCACACCACATATACACAAAAAAAAAAAAAAAGTAATTTAGAAATGTATCATGAGAGGTAGCAGCAACAATTATTTATTCGCTCCAAATGTTGGTACCTCTTCCCTTATATCCCCAGCTATAAGAGATGCATAAAATACTCGTAAAAAACAAGGGTCAACACAGAGCGTGGTACTGTCAGCAGTAAAGAAGGCACAATGCCTCGATACATACCTCGCAAGCCATCTTTGTTCCAAGTGAGCGAAAAAGACTGAAGAAACGAGACGTACTGCAGTGGACCACACCGGCTTCGATGGTCCTGCAGACGCGTCTTAATCAAGTAAATGGGCTGTGAAGATAATGTGACAAGAGTCTTTGCGAGTGTGGAACAAAAGCAAATGTCGATCGTGTTGAGAGTGTCACATGACTTCCATAAAAGAAGATAGGATTTAAGCGCCTCGTACAGGGGGAAGTTAAGAGAGTTCGGCAATCCGAGCAAAATTTGCGCTGACAAACCGCGCCAGAGTGAAAGAAATCCGGTGCTGCGAACAGTGTACACTAACCCACGGGTAAAAGATCCATAATGCGCCAAGCCACTTCTCGTCGTACGATGTGCCGAAACTTCTTCAAGCTGCATGCGTGTTTTTATGAGCCATATTGGGTTGCAGATGCATGCCGAAAAGCAGCTAGCAAAAGCAGAAGGAAGTAAACTAAGAAGAAAGTCTTCCACTCTTCCCCGTGAAGTTTGCGCCGTGGCAGCAATGCTCAAATTGTGAAGCGAACGATAGGTGTACATGTATATGCCCCAAGCGGCCACAGAGCCCAAAACAGCCACATGACAACCTCGGAATAACGCACGTGGACCCTCCTCACGGTATATAGTCACCAACGCCCTTCGGATGGAATGATATGTCTGTCCATTGTGCTGTCGGTAAGTGGTGCCGTCCTGCGACAGGAAACGCATCTTCACAACATCAATCGGGAATAAAATGGTGGTGCTTAGCGCCCCAGCGGCTTGCGTTGCGAGTGTGTGCTTGAAGGCCGAAGCTGGTTTCTGCCGCTGCTCTTTCGAAGCATTCGTCCTCACTGAAACCATTTGGCAACGACACTCCTAGCCACAATTGTTCTATAATGCCGCACCGCGGTCTTTTCCTTCTGTCTCTCTTTGTGTGTGTACCCGTGAGGAAAAAAATGATGAGACGCAACAACGAAAATAATAATAATAACAATAATAATACTAATAAAATATCGTTGTGCCCCCTCTTTGAGTACGGATAAACAGAGACGGAGCGTGTGAGAATCACGCCCCGTTTATCCCGCTGCCTCCGGCAGAGCTACAATACATCAGCGAGAGCCGTGATCTTCAGCTCAAGAGAAAAATAAATGATTGATTAATCAAATAAGTAATTCAAAGAATACTTCCAAAAAGGCACCGTTTGACATCATCGCCATCGCTTCTTTCCTCGATTCAAACACTGGGGGGAGGGAGGGGATGTCTTCAGATGTAGCCATTGATAACCCCTAACGTCTTTTCATACAGCATGTAATGTGTGACGGCGCGCGGTAGTGAATGAAGTAAAGAGGAGTTCAAACCCCGTAGCATTCCACGTGTTCCCTCCCGCTTTAAGATAAGGAGGAGGGAATGGCGAATGTCGGTGTATTTGACATCGCCCATGTTCCAACGTTGATCCTGCAGACGAACTTTGAGAAACATGATAGGGTGTGATAACAGCAACAGGAGCACCTTTGTCATGGTGGAGCATACAAGTGTTTCCGTGACGGTCAACTCCCCTCTTTTAGTGGAATGCTCCAGACGGGTTCTCAGCATTATTTCCTTTAGAAAGTCATAGGTAGGGTAGTTCAGTGCGTTGGGAATGATAAGAGTCATTTGCAGAGAGACCCCACGCCAAAGTGAGCAAAACCCGGTGGTTTGCAGTACATGACGAAGTCCCTTCCTAAATGTGACATAATTCCTCGACTGCGTTGCATCTTCAAGCTGCATGCGTGTCTTAATGAACCAAATGGGTGAAGAGACAAGAGTGGATGTAAGACTTGCCAAGTATGACACGCCAGTCCGGCCTAAAAAAGATGATACATCCGCCATACAACAAAGCGAACGATAGGTGTACATGTATATGCCCCAAGCGGCCACAGAGCCCAAAACAGCCACATGACAACCTCGGAATAACGCACGTGGACCCTCCTCACGGTATATAGTCACCAACGCCCTTCGGATGGAATGATATGTCTGTCCATTGTGCTGTCGGTAAGTGGTGCCGTCCTGCGACATGAATCTCACCCTCAGCATGTCAAAGGGGTAATAAATAAGTGTACTAGTAGCAGATGCAAACTGTGAAGACACTGTGTGAGAAAGCGGAGATGCATGCAAATCTGTTTTGTCCTTCTCAGCATTGGAATGAGCAACAACAGCGGCTACGTTCTTATTCTTACCGCTAGCCAGTAAGTCATTCCAATAGGTGGAGGACATCCGCCAAGAAGCAACAGCAGCGGCAATGATCCCTAATAAAGAGGTGCTAACAACAACAACAACAACAAAAAGAAAAGCGGTGAAAATAAAAAGACGCCCTCACTGCATAATTATTTCCACCTAGCAACGTGTGTTATTGGAAGGGGTTCACCAAAGCAGGCCACAGGGAAAAAAAAAATAAATAAATAAATCATCCAAAGAGTTTGTCAAAATAGTGAAACCTCCTCTCACTTCTTTTGCAGCTTCTCATGGGGTTTACCCTAATTTTCATTTGTGATTCTTTATAAAATTCCGCTTTCTTTTATTCCTCAGTTCCTCCCTCCCTCCCTCTCTCTTTCCTTTTCTCTTCTTCCATTTGTTCGCGCTTCCGCAGGTGTGCCCCAATTCCAATTGGTCCTCTCTGGGCCATGGCCGGTTTGCGAAAAAATAATAATAATAACAACAAAAATAATATTAAATTAGAAAAGGGGCAAATCGTCCCTATTGCCGCGGGAGTCGTAAAACACATCATCCACCGGCAATCCACTTAAAAAGAGGACGGACGGAACTCCTCAGGTGGGCCGGTTGAAGGCGATGCAAAGCCCGGGTTGATTTCCCCCCGCAAGCGCCGTTCCTCCTCCGCCTGCAGCCTGTTCTCTTCCTCCGCGCCCCAAACCTGCATCTCAATTAGAAAATCTGCAAAACGACGGCGAAATTCCGCCTCGTCACAGTAAGACTCGTAGGCAAAGGAGACAAAGTCCGTTATAAGACTCGGGGTGAGCGTCGGAATGACTGAGAGGTTTTCAACGAGAAACTCATGCAGAGCAACACGGCCAACAACGGGGGTCTGCGGGGGAAACATATCGGAGACGCTGAAGAGTTTAATGAGGATGCTACAGTGCAGACTGAAACCTGCAGCATGAAGGGAGTCCATCGCTGCCACAAGCACCTCGACGAATATTCGTTGCATGAATGAGGTAAAAAATTCCTTAGCAAGTTCGGATTTGGCAACGTTCTCAAGAAATGAATCCAAGGCTAACAGCCCCACCTCCATGGTCGCGAAATCCGTGTGCTTAATTACCCACAGCATGCCAGCGATAACATCCTCCTTCCTTGAGGCATAGCTTAAAAATGCATCAAAGCAGTGCCTATTCAGTGCTTGAAGGAGTTTGAAAAGATTCACACGAAACTCTGGAAAATCCTCCGTGTTTCTGCAAATCATCGCCACTGTTGTGTCAAACGTGTGGTCAAGAATGGCCGCACAGTCTCCACTTAGACGAGTAGTTAATTTGTTGACACATGCAGTCACTAGTGCCATCGCCCCGGGTTCTTTTGCTTCCGGCACGGAGTCACGGTAGTCCTCCAGAACCACGGTCAAGATGCTTGGCATACAGTTCGCTGCCACAAAATCACGCTCCTCCGTGTTATCTACAAAACGCTCAAAAATACAAAGAATTTCCTTCTTCGCTAATCGCAAATAACGCGCATCTTGCTGCTGTACCATGGCAGCAGGTCCACCTTCCGCGATCAACGCGTTTTGTGCGGCAAAGAAAGTACGATAAAAGCCGTGAAGATCCCAAATGATGATCCCCATTTCATCTATAAACGCTGTCCCACACGTAGAGGCAATGCTGCTGAATGTCCGCAAAACATGAATGAGTTCCATCATACTCGATGAATCACGACAAAACGATGCACCCTGGGCGGCTGCACGTTCTGTTATTGCCTTGAAGTTTATGTTAACATCCTGAAGAAACAAATTCAAAAGTAACGCCCGCCTTTCAAGGGTTTCGCTTTGAACCATAAGTCCAGCTGCAGCAAAGCAGGTTTGTGTCTGTTGCGGCTGTAGCAGAGACGTCAACTCCGTCCATCGCTCTGCAATATCGACGGCTATAGATTTTTTTCGGCTATCTAAAGAAACAAACTGATCGGGCACTTGCGAGGCAATCTTCATGAGGGTATCGACCGCCATTTCCTGCACTCCAGGAAACAGTTCCTTCATGAATTCAAGAATCTTCCGGACAACGGTACTCAAGAAACTGGGATGGCTCCGAAGAAAACGTGGATATTGCCCCACAACAAACATAATATTACTGGCGATCACCGCTCGATTTTCCTTCCCAAGCATCTCCTTGCAGAGGTCAAGTAGCCCGCGAATGATCACCACAAAAAGCGATGATTCTTGTTCTTCCGACAGAGCCAATGAAACGGCCCCCACGGCCCACGATAATGTGCTGCAGTTATGCCAACTCCACTCACTCCGATCAAGTTGTTTTTGCATAAGTTCCATCATAATATGCTGCGTGTCGTATGGGTCAATATTTGTCAAAAACACCAACGCATCTCGCATCAAGTTATACAGCTGCAGCCCCTCCACATCTGACATGTGTTCACGACGTAGTTCACCATCTTCTTCCACGATAATGACTTCTTCCGGCTTAGCCATCTTCTTGATGAGTACAAAACGTACATTACTGAGTACACCTGAAAGCTTTTTATGAAGTGGTGTGGGGGATGGGAAACGTAACAATTTTTCTCCAAGCCACCACCAATATTCCACACAGGACTTAAAGAGCTCCTTGTTATCAATGTGACTCATACCCACCAGCATTTGATGTGTGGAAAGTAGTAGAATATCATCATATAAAATCAGCTTGTAGTACCGTTTTAAAAAGCTAATGAGAAGGATATTTACGCCACTGATAAACCCACAATCATCATCCATCCCCATTTCATACATTTGCACAATTCGGCCCTCCACAGACAAATGGGATGTCGGAAGAGCGTTCAGTATATTATTAAAAGCGGTGCGAAACACACGAACCGCAATCTGTGCCTGACTATCGCCCGCTGCGCCCTCATCTGTGTCTAAACTACAAACCACAGAAAGACAGCGTACAGCAACAGGAGCCACCGTGGCATCCCCAACAACCAAACTGGCAATGTACATTAGGACTTCCTCGTTAAATACAAGCGTGGGCTCCATCCACGCCAAATATTTTTCCATGCATTCCAAATCCGTCTTCAGCAATGCCAGGTCTGAAGTTCCAAGAACCGACAAGCAAAGCTGCAAAATCAGACAAAAATCATTCTTCAAAGCCTCCTTTTTCCGTTTGATCCACCGTGATGTCAGTGTCTTTTCAGCAAATTCAAAGATTTCCTCCCCTAAAAGGCGCAGTAAATTCAAATTATTTTCAATGAGTGGCTCATTTGGACCCGCACTGGAACAAATGTCGTAAATAAAACTGGGCCACCGCAGAGGCCACTCTCGTTTCGCAATGCTTACCAACGTACTGTTAATTTTAGTGAGCAGTGCCTTGCGGCTGCGAATCTGGTTAAAGCTTTTGCATTCGCCAACAATTAAGTTGATTACAAAGACACGAAAATCTCCCTTTTGCGCGTCTGTAAACTTGTTCCACTGATGCAAGATGGTCTCGTCAAAGATCTGCAGAGCAAAAAAGCGTGTCGTCAAGTTCTGCGACTTTGACAGCAACGTCCCGGCCTGAGCAAACACGTCAGGCCTATCTTTGAACATCGTGAGAACCCCCTGCGCCTTCATGATCTCCTGCGGTGTTCCCGTTGAGAGGTACTGCACCACACGATCAAACTCCTGCACATCCACGGGTCTACTTGTGTCCAAAATGGACTCCATCTTTTCTCGGCTTTCACTTGCAGACACAAACACACACACAAAAAAAAAAAAAAAAAAAAGAAGAAAAAAGAAAAACAAAACAGAAATGCCTCAAAAAAACCTCCTTCTGCTCCCACTTCACCATTTCCTCCTCTCATCTTTTGAGCCATGCACACAAACACACAAATGCAATTTAAAAACAACAACAACAACCGCGCAACAACACGCTCATTCACAAAAATAATATTTCAAAAAAAAAAAAAAGATGTTGAATTTAAAACATCTTCATATTACTTTGGAGAATGAATATAATACACATAAAGACACATATATGTAAATATGTACATATACATGCGTCTATGTGTAGGGGCTAATATTCAAATATATATTCACTACATCAATGAATGAAGCAATTGGTCTAGCAAACAAACAAACAAAAAGAAATGCATTGCCTCAAACGTTGAGCATGGGAAAAGAAACTCCACACGAATAGGTACCTACATACATTGTATATATACATATATATATACACCCGCATATATGAGCCCACTTGAAGTCTCTCCCCCACCCTCCATCCCTTATAGAAAATGCGGTTACGTTCGCTTATAGGTTGAAACCGCCTCTTCTATCCAAAAGTAACAAAATAAGGGATGCTCATTACTTCAAAGCACACTACAAAAAAAGAGAGCATGTAGAATTAATTTCATAAAAACACAAACGCATCGTCCCTTTAGGTAGTTTCTGCATACTTACTTTTACGTTTGTTGGTTCTTCCCCCTTCATTTTCTTTTTATTTTTATGTTTTCCTCCCCTTTTATTTCGTTTCCTCCTTCGCCACATGCACCACATCCCTACTTTGCATTTAAAAAAAAAAAAAAGAAGAATAATTCTTCCGCTTTTGTCGTCTCTGGCTTAAGTAAGAAGAAAAGCGCCACATCCCTCATCAATGGCCTGCCGCAATTTCCTCTCCATTTGCTCTTTACTGTCGTAGGCTGGCAGCTTCAGGTAGTTTTGGCACGTCATCGCCGAGGGAAGCTGATCCTGCTCGCGTACCTTGGGCTCCGAGGAGGTCTTCCGCACAATTGTGAACTTCGGTCGCAGGCTCGCAAGACCGCCCACAGGAAGATGCACAGAACCCGTAAGGAAGAGAAAAAATTGTCGCTGCTCCTCCTCGTTGAAAGACGCAATAATTTCAAATAACTGACGCACATGACTGCACGTCATGGTGTAGCCATGATCCGCCTGACAGTTGGCTTCGAGATCTTCAACAGTCACAAGGTCAGCGTGACCATGAAGGGCCTCATGCAGCTCAGACACACTCAGCAAGCGCAAGGCACACAATGGAATGTATTCATGGAACCCACTACGAAATGCCTGAATGACACGCTCAACTCCTGTGCGCAACATAAATCCCGTGACAGCATCACAGTAATCAAACAAGTTCTTGAACGTCACCAACTTATTTGCCCCATCTTTCACTAACTCAATGGCATCATCACCGGGTAACGTAAAATCAAGTGACAATTCCTCCACGCTGCAGGAAGTAGACGATCCAGGCAGTTGTATTGTCGTGGCACCGTGGTGGGTAGCGATGGAGAGCGCCACTATAAAGGAACCCAATGAGTCACTGACGTCGATCAAATCATAAATCCCACACTCGTCCCCACGAAGCATCTTTAACATAACGGGCGAGAGAGGAATAGAAACAATTCGCTTATCCAACAACGCCCGGGCCAAAAACCGGCCTAAGAGTGAGAAATACGGTTCAACGCGATCAATTTCAGGCGAATCGGGAGGCAGCGGACGCGGATACACCCCCTTCTGTGGATGATAATACTTTTCGTCGGGTGTTTCGTCGGTCCGCCGCCACAATTGAAGTTTCATCTCCCGTAGTTCATCCGATACAAGCGAGAAAAACTCCATTGTCGGCCCACTTCCACTTCCATTCTCATTGTAGTACTCAAACTCCAGCAAAACGGAATCATTAACCTGTTTCTTCCCCATAATTTCCATGGCGCACATTAGAGCGTGATGACGCCAGACACGCTTCTTCACTCGGTGAAGGCGATAGGACCTTATAAATTGATGATCGATGTTGAGTAAGTCCCGCATTCCGTATTTTTCCATATTTTCTTGCATCTGAACAAGAGAACGGGCGGTGCCACAAAAACTGATCTCAAAGAGAAACTTTCGTGTCGTTGACGTAAACAAAAAGTTGCAGTCCATGGCAAGATTGACTGCCCACGTTGTGAGATGTTGACCTGCAAGAAGAAGATTGGAGCTATGCCGCATGGCCTTGTTGTTCAACCTGTGGTGAATAAATTCCCCAAGAGAGGTCGATGGCGACCACACCCCTCCGTCCATTTCATCCTCCCCACAATACCCCAAATACAGCAGTAGTTCGGACCAGTACTGCAATGTCTTGTAAATGGTACCCAAAAGTGTCAGGACATCTTTTTGAGCAGCAGTAAGAAAACAGCTGCTAAATGGATAATCCTGGTGCAAGGCACACATTACTTCCACCACTGCAGCTGGACGAATATCCTTGGAAGGCAATCTTATACGAATAGGATCGGTGGGTGCGATGCAAGATACAGTAGATCGTGACAACTCCGTTGTGTACTCCGGTCCAAAGGGGACTGTGCTGTAGTGCAGAGTAATGGCTTCCCCTGTACCACGGCGCAATTCTTCCACCATGGAATTAATTTGACGGGATCTTCCCCCACCACTACTACCATTACTACCACCAGCAGTCGTAGTGTTAGAAGCGTTAGTGTTTGTAGTTGTAGTAGCATTAGCAGTACCACTGCCCTGACCACTCTTTTTCTTTTTCCTTCCAGACAATGAGGTTCCAGACAAAGAATTTGAGTGAAACTGTTGTATTACCTGAAGAATAGTCATGGAGGAAGGTAGTACATGGGACTCGTACCGTAAGTAGACAGTCTGTTGTGCTTTTTCCTGCATCAACTTCTTCCCACTCACTGAGGTTTCGTCCCTTCCTTCTCTACCTAATTCAGGAAGCACCTCTTCGACTTGATCTTCATCTTCTATGCGCCGACGACTATCGCTGTGTTCCATCTCTCCAGAAAGCACATTTGACGCCACAAATGACATTAACGCATCCATACTTGTCAAAGGTTCAACACTTACCATAATATCGCGCCCCTCAAGGGGGCCTTTTGTTGAATTTGACGTGGAAGGAGCCAGAGTAGAGGCAATATTTGTGCCGCTGCTTCTACGTGTTGCGGGAATACGCGTGCTGCGCGGTGGTGCACCGGATTCCTTTGAAGGCGCAGCAGCCGGGGGACGCCGTAGTACACCGCCCCCTTTTGCTAGAAAGGATGGCTTCGTTTTTTGCTGCTCAGACGCATGCGGAACGAGATGCACAGGAATATGTACGTGAATGCTACTCACTTCACCAAAACTGGGAGGACGAAATTGATCCAATTGCGAAAGAATAGTTTGAAGGTGTCGCACAAATCGTGTTAGAGCACAGGGTGGATTTGGCGCCTCTTTTGCTAGTGTCTTTACTAGGGTAACGACAACTTTAATGTCATTCACACGCGTCAGTGTTTCTCTCAGTGAACGAAGAACATTACTTGACGCAAGCTCAAAAGTGGTGATGTCATTTAAGAGAGCAGTTCGAAGGATATCAAAGGCCTCCTGGAATTGGCCCTCTTCCATGAGACTTACAAACTCTGCAAGCCGCATGACATGTGTTTCCTCACTGACCGAAGGAAACATGCTCAGCATACTCTTCGCTTCCTCCACAACAAGCTCGCGCCAATCAGAAATGGTGACAAGCCTTTCAATAAGCGGTCGCTTCTCTTCTGAGTGTTCAGTAGAACGTCGTGTGGTCGTTTGATTCTGCTGTTGTGCCTTTATTAACGCACTGGTTACGCCCTCACGGACAAAAGCGTTTTTATACACGTTGGGCAGTTTTTCCAGCAGCGTGCGGCAAAGAAGCATCACTTGAACATTTAACACCAGACTGGGGTCTGCAATTGCCGATAAGATTAATTCACAAACAGAGGCCTCCACGAGACCGCTACCCGCCAACTGCTGTGGGGATGCCAAGCACACAGCTCGGTCAATAAAGGCGAGACTGTGGTTACGCACAATGTGCGTTTCCGACTCATTGAAAAGCGCCACCATCTTTGTAAGTCCTCCAAGTATGGTATCCAATAACTGTGGATGACTTTTGTAGAGTTCCTTCCGTTCTGTGTTAAGAGCATCATCCAACGTTTTTCTGGCCTTTGCGGGCGTCGGTGATCGTTTCAACCCCGGAAAGACCTCCAGCATATCGCAGAATGTGTGTTGCGCCGAATTCCCCGTATGCTCCTCCCAATTCATCAAAAGGCATTCCCCACAGAAATCGAAATCCGCACATTTATTACAGCGGAACCAATCACCCGGCCTGCACAACTTCCCACAGCTGTCACACATATGCGTAAGGCCACACCTTGAAAATTTGGTGTTTTTTTCAAGTGGAATTCCCTCATCAAAAATCCGCAGACGGATCTCGTCACTGTTGCTTGTTTCTCCCTCCTCTTCCTCTTCTTCTTCCTCTTCCTCGTCCTCCTCGTAGCTGGCCTCCAGGGGAAAGAAGCCCCTACGGTGCGCCATCCCCTGTGCACGTTCCGCAAGCAATTCCGTAAGGATGTTTCCGTAGGCAAGATAACCTTCCGTAATTCGTGGCAGAAGTCCGGCAAGTGCAATACAAAGTGTTTTCGTCTGCTCCATCGTCAACCGCCTCTCGCGGAATGCTGTCGTTGTTTGTGTTGTCGTTGAGTTCGGCAGCAAAGACACATCTTGAGAGAATGAAGAGCCCGGCGGATTCTGTGCTCCAAGTATCGGGCTTTCCCAGAATGAGCGCGACGTTTGTTGCAACTGCTGCTGTTGTTGTTGCTGTAGCAACGGCAGTTGGTGCCTTGAGGAATGGGCGATAAGTGCCAACATGCACTCCATTAGACCGCTCTCAATCACCTTTCTTGTAACCTCTGTGCTGTATGATATGGCTGAACCAATGAGAGATAGCGTCATCGTAAAGATGTTCTCTGAAACATCGCTTCTCGTGAGAACACAAAGAAGGGAGGGACTGACATCCCCATATGCCAGTGCCACCAGCTCTGGGTTTGTGCGAACCCCATTAATAATGCGATAGAGGCATGCAATTGCCTTATCTCCAATCTTTCCATCGTCGTGATTGGTACGCGAGCGTATATCATTCAACGAGTCTTCAACACGGTCAAACGTTGTCACATCCACACGCCGGCACATTGCCGCCACACTGGACCACGCTTTGCGCTGAGACGAGGAGCTAAAAAAGTCAACAAAGGCCAAAAGTGACTTCACCCCTCCCTTCTGTAATCCCATCAGCGCACCATGAGAGCTCTGTGTAATTTTTTCTACACACGTCAAACACTGTTCCGAGAGCTCAATATCTTTCACCTCCAATAAGTGCCGAAGAACGGCTTCCATGCCACCTTCTGACCCCAGCACATATACGGCAGAAGAAATGGCGTCTACCATGTAAGTCAATGCACGTGCAGCTAATAGCATTAAGTCCACATTGTGTTCCTTCTTTAGACAGGCCAAAACGGGTGGAACAAATACACTGGGCCTTATCGATGCAATCGTCGCAGCAGTGGCCATGTTCAGTAGATTGCAGAGATCAAGCAGCCCCACCGTCTGTCGTCCTTCATCGTCGCTATTGATATTATCACGTGCGGCCGCAATTTCCTTCATCATCTTGCGTTGCACAACGCTGCTTTCTGCATCCACAACAATGCGAGTAAAAAAGTTTTCCATACCGACCCTTCACAATTTGCGTTTCTTTCCCTCCCCGTCTTCTATGCGTGGTAGACCTGTACTTCTCTCTCCTCCTCTTCCTTTCCTCAGGTGTTTCTCCGTTTCTTTCTTCTGTTATGTTCCTTTTTTTTTTTTTATTAATTGTCTCCTCCCCCGTCCAACTCTTTTTTTGTGCTTGTTTGTTTGGTTCTTCTCTTTGAATGGCGCAACTTCTTCTCCCCTCCCGTCTCTCTCTCTACCTTCCGCCCAACCCCTGTGCGTGAACACACTACCGAATTTCCTGTGAAAGCGACACCGCCGGCGGATCGATCGTGTCGGGTTCGATTCGTCGAGAGAAAAAAGAGAAGCGAAACAACAACAACAACAAAAAGATACATTTATATATAAAAGTATTTATGCGTACACATGCAGCGGGAGAACCAGAAAGAAGACTTTCCCCCCAAGGATGCGTGCAGCGACGTCTCAACAAAAAAAAAAAAAAAAAGAGGTGGCAGAAAACATTCTGATCAAAGAAAAGTGACGTTACAGAAATTCAAGAAAGAAAAGGCCCACAAGAAACATCCCACACGCCTCAGAGAAACGAAAAAACATACACCTCGCACTTCACACCATGAACTCTACGCAGAGAGAAAAACAAAAATAAAAAAGAAAGTAATTTTTGTCCCACACACAATCTGCTCTTGTGTGACACTACCCCAACTCCTCCATATCTCACTACCATTCTAATGCAAAACGTAGAAGAAACCCCCCAAACCCCAAAATCCCTAACCCCACCCACCCCGCACAGTTCACCGGAATTATTGTTACTGGATCTAATGCTATAACTACACATATATATATATACTCCAAAATTCCACTGTATTATCTCGGTTTCTTTCCAGATTTGCTTGTGCCACTATCCTTTATGCCTTGGCAGCGTCAGCGGAGGCCTTCCTCGCCTGCTCTCGACGAATTTTACGCATGATCTGATAATGCCAATTTTTATCAAAGCCCTTCGCCTTTGCAGCGGCATACTCTTGGCGAGCACGTGCCTCACCGCCTACACCCCACGCAGGCATCCGCATCCCACAGCTGTCATCACCACGAAGCCATTGCTTCTTTGGCCAATTAAAGACAAAAGGACCGTAAATGTATCGCTTCCACATGGAGACCTCCCCATCACGACGTGCGTGGTTTCTTCGCATCACGTAAATGGAACGATCATATGCCTCTGCGCTCCAATCAAGCCACGAGAAAAATGCCTTGCCTGCCTCACTTATCGGTCTATCACAATAACGTTTTAAATATATATCCTTGTCATGTAACCACTGAAAATGAAATGTAAAAGTGTCATCGTACTTGATGTCCTCAATGCCCACCAAACCTCCACGGCTATAGTAGGAATACACTTCCATCATCGTGGGAGGAATCTGGTAGAGAATATACAAAACCGCAAAGGGAATCCACGCCGTGTCCATACCAGTCATTCTGCCAATTCTACTTGTGCCAGACTAAAAATAATAATAATAATAATGATAATTAATAATAATAATACCGGTGTAAGTAATGGTATCGGTAGCAACCCTTCAAGCATCAAAAGGAAAAAGCCATAAATACACAAATAATAATAATAATAATAATAATAAAAACAAATATTAGAAAACATCCACAAAAGAGGAAATAAATTCAACACTTTAAAGGCGGCATTTTAAGACACAACACACTCACAAATAGGATAAATGTACCGCAATATCATTATCCGTGTGATCGCCTGAATTTCCCTGTCTATCTCTCCAGTTTAATAAACGTACACCCCTCCACTGTAGCAGGAAAAAGTGGTGTTACCCAATATAATATATATATATATATATAGAGAGAGAGAGAGAGTCTATCGTGATTCGCATCATTCCCATGACGGCTCTTTGTGTCTCGCCACAGCCTCTCGAAGTGAATGAGTATTTGTGCTTCCCTTTTCCCTCGATATCGCACACATCTTCTTTGTTGTTTTTTGTTGCTGTTTGTGTGCTTGTCACGTTCTCTCATTCATTTATTAACAGGCAATACACCTCGTTCATTATGCCTCCAACCCTACAATTTCTACAATGGCGGTTCCACGGATAACTGTTGTGCCCAGAGCCACCTTCTCCATATTTTCTTCATTGTTGAAGGAAGGTCTTTCATCCGTGGCGTCAAAGAGAACAACACCCAGAAAATTATCAACGCCACGCAACTCACCGGAGATGGAACGACCGCCTTGAAGCTTCACCACCACCCGCTTCTCCATGAAGTGATTCAGATTGGGAGGGCTTCTCTTTGGAGGCATCCTTCTCTCGTATAAAAATGTACGTGTCTGTGTGTGAGTTTTACCTGTTTTCGTCTGCTACTGCTGCCGCTCCTACCGTTACTGTGTCTCCAACCGCTTCTCTCGCAGACAGTACTGAAACGTGAAAAAAAAAAAAAAAAAAAAAAAAAGAAGAATTGACGAAAAACAGCCAAAAAACGGCAACAAGAACGACAAAACCCCAAAAAAACAGGAAGAAAAAAAAAGAAAAAAAAAAAAAAGGAGTTCACATTAGAGCGACATTTACATTGTGAGGGGCTTTAGAGGAGTTAATAGATGAAATACAAAAAGATAGTGAAAGGAAAGAACGACCACAATACCTTTCAACTTCACACAAGATGTCGCAATGGGACTCTTTCTTCATCCACCATCTCTTCCCCCCTCCCACACACACACACACTCACACACACTCTCTCTCTCCCCCTCTATGAGAATTAATAGAAAAATAGGTATATACAGCTGTGCCCCGCGGCTTCCTCCCTGAGTATTTCTTCCCCTTTACTTTCTTCTTTTCTCCTTCGTTCTTCACGTATTTCTTTTTCTTGTTTTTGCTCTTGTATTTTGATCCCCAGAGGACAGCAACGCCATACTCTTCCCTCCTCCATCTGGTTTCCTTCTCTTACTTGGAGATAAAAAAGAAGGAAAGGAGCGTTCTCCTCGTGAAAAAAATGAGTAAAGACAAGTGAAAGGGCAAAGCGTGTTGTGGTAGCCGTTGGCAACATTTTACATATCTGGGGAGAGAGGGCAGAGGAAGAGCGTTGGTCCGCCCTATTTCTCATCATCAACATCAATTCCATCTCCAACTTCTTCTAGTAGCTTGCGCCGCTGAACCTCCAACTCTTCTTGCAGGCGTAAATCCCGATCCCTTTCTTCGTTTATAGAAGCGCTGTACTCCTGCTCAATCTTTTCCAGTTGTTCATCCAGGTCTTCCATTTCTTTTGTGACAGCCTGTACGTGTGTGCTACGGCGTTGGCGTTGCTTCGCCACCGCACGCTTTTCCTTCACAGCGCGATCTAAATTCTTGTCACGAATGCTTTGGTTTTCAAGCATTTGACCGATAGCAGCCTTTTCGTCCGCCATGATAGTGTGCAGCGAGGGTGACAGCTCCATGAGTGTAACGTTACCATCAATGCCACCGGCGGCAATGTGTTTTCCCTCCACTGTTGGTTTGGCGGTGTGCAAGGCATAATCAGAGACTTGAACGCTCAAGGCCGGGGTAGACTGACGCAGCATCAAGTCCCAGATGTCCAGATAACCGTCCATGCGAGTGGTGAAAAACACACCGGGGCGCACAGGATGCCAGGCACCGCTCGTAATATATGAAGTGTGATAGAAGGTGCTAAACAATGGCGTGAATTTGAAGTCCTCAAACCACATCCGTGCAGTCCAGTCACCCACAGAGAGGAAATACTTTGAAAAATAAGGATGGCGTTGCACGGAGTAAACTGGACCATGATGTGCATTAAACGTATTAGGCCCAATCTTTTCTGCCTGTGTCTTACCCTTACGATTACAGGAGAGAATAGTACCCTGTTCCGTTCCAATCATGTACTTTGAAGGACCACCAACTTGTGGATCGTAGTCCAAACAAAGTCCGCCCAATATCCCCTTCGATCCCCCCTCGTTGCTTTTTGGCAGAAGTGTTAGAGAGTCCTCTGGGAGCTTGTGCAACTCAACTGGCTTGTCAGGGAGACGGCAGTCCCATACATACACCTCGCCGTCTGTAGATACAGAAAGCAATTCACCGGATTTACTCTGTAGCCATTTGACCGACCATACAGGATCCTTATGACTCTCTTCAATAAGAGAACGGGCGGCAGGCCGTGTGGGCTGACGTGTATCCCAGTACTGTACAACGCCATTCCAACTTCCTCCAGCGATGATATGTGGATCCTTCAAGTAATGTTCAATGCTGCACAATGGTGAAGGGGTCACCAGCGTCTCAACTGGTGTGTTAGGATTCATAACATCCCACACGTAAGAGTTTGTATTCATCGTCGGGGTGCTGCTTTGGAAACGCAGTCGACAGTACGCCACGGCAAATTTCCGTCCGTCGTTTTGCCATGAAATCGCTGCGGCCGTTCGCTTCTCCGTGTTGGGGTCTTTAAAGACGGAGACAATCTTTGCAGATGCGGGTCCCAACGACTCATCTTCCGGGGGCGCACCCTCCGCAAAGTAGGAACCGTAAATATCGATTGCGTTGTTCTGCTTGATGTACTTGTCGGTACACTGCTGGACAAGGCGACGACATGATGACAAGTAACTCTCCTCGCGTTCAACCTTTTTGCAGTATTTCATCTTTTCTTCAAATTCCGTGGGGTCGACAACATGCGGCCATCCACCCTCAACGTGGGACTGCGCGCGATGGCGTAATTTAATGCGTTCCGTGTTGGTACTTGACTCGGACAACGACGGCACGTTTTGAATCTCCGTCTCGCAGGGGTCGAGTTTTGTGTAATAATTCTTCACCGTACGGTTCGGTGGGATGTCGCTGAGAATCTCACCCTCATTGGCGTGAAACTCCGGCATGCGCCCAAACTCCCTGCGGGGACGTGAGTAGCTGTACGACACGTCCGTCATTGTCTCTCTGGGTGGCAGCAAAGTGACGACAAAATAATAATATAATAATAATAATAATAATAATAATAAATTCCGAGACACGGACTTCCCTTTTGCTTTTTTGTTCTGCGTGTGCCTACAACTCCGCCGCTTGTACGCCTACTCCCTTTTCCTACAGATGGTGGTGGCCCGGCCTTCAAGGCAGACTGCGGTATCCACTGTACAAGAGACACGGAGAAAATAATAATAAAAAAAAAAAGAGAGAGAGTCCGATAGAAGGGCAAACACAAAAAGAGAACACGTAACGTGGCACCACCTCCCGTGTCCCCACCCTCTTCACCGCCCACCCACGTTCAGCACAGCACTGTACACAACTCCCCTCTACTCCTTCGTCCACACTTTCCTCTTAATTGTGAAGTTCTCACCACCGGCAGCACCTTCCCTCCGTGTGTACACATAGGAGAAGGAAGTCACTGTTTTCTCTTTGATATCCAGTAGCACAAAGGTGGGAGTCACATCTAAATGTGCGGGAGTAAATGCCCCTGTAATAGAGCCGGGGTTAATAAAGAGATGACCGTCAAACTCAAAAGTTTTGCAGTGATGCGTGGCACCTGAAACGAGAACATCCACATCCAACTTGCGCTGCAAAATAGCCAATGAATCCCTGTCACCACAAGGCACCACCTGGTGTCCATGGACGAGGCCAATCTTTAAATCCTCCACCGTGATCACGTGTATTTCCTTCAATTGGGTGTGGCTCCATTGGTCAAACTCCCCCTTGGCACAATACACCTCTGGAGCGACGGTTCGAAAGTAGTCATACATCTCGCGACAACCGACATTGCCCGTTATCAGCACGATGTTGATACGTCCTGGGGAGAACATTTGTGTAAATTCCTCCGGTATGGCTGCAGCACGCTGTGGGATGTGAAGGTCGCCGACGACAAGCACCAACACCATTTTCGCTACCCAATTGAACTTTCTCTTATCCCCTTTCCCTCCCACACCCTGCTCGAAAGCGATGGCAAAAATAACTCTAGCAACAATACCAATGGTAACTGCGGCCCGTTCTTGCTTCTGCACGAAGTATCCGATATTTTCTATAATATTTTTATGCTAGTGTGCAGAAAAATACGCCACACAAAGCACAATATTTTATTTATTTATTAAACTGGAGGAAAAATTCACCCTCACTGGCGAGCCCTGCCACCTACAGAGGCATAGACACAAACACACATATTAAAGAAAAAAAAAAAAAAAAAACGTCAGCAAAGGCTACCGTAATCAAGCAGAAAATACGGCTAGGAAAAGGCGGATATCGTTCACACTCACTCACTCACACCATGTATCGCACAAGATACTCTTTTGCCTTCTTCAATGCTCCCTCATTTCGTCATATCTCTCAGCCTCAGTTGTGTTTGACATGCACGAAGATCAGACTGCAGTTGCGACAAAACAACATCGGGAACCGGCGCCCCAAGTCTTGCTTGCATGATCAGCGCCATGGCTATAAATAAGGACACAAAAAGGCCTATGATTAGACGCCGCCGCCGTCCAATCAAAAACATGAAACCTCGAAATGTGCGGTTTTGATCCAACCAGCCGCCAGACTTGACGCCGCCCCACGGAGTCCTTCCAACGTCGTGGTGCATTGACGGAACAACACCATCAACAATTTGCTTCCCATTACGCACATTGCCTCTACCGCAACCACTCACACTTTCCGCGGAACCGTGGGCCGTAACGTTCGGCAATGAGTTCATATTCAAAAAGGCACGATGCACTTCACCACAAGATGAGGGAAAACTTGCTTGCAAGCGCAGTCTCCTCTTCTCTTCATTGGCGCTCACCAGCTCTCTTCCCTGTCTTTGTAGCTGCTGCTGCATACACTCCAGTTGTTCCATCAACTCTCTGTTACGACCCTTTTCCAAGCGGCACTCATCTTGCGTCATCATCATATCTAGCCGCAACTGTTCCAACTGCGCGTCCACGTCTGCAAGCTGTTGCTCCAATTGGGTATTGCGCTCGCGAAGAAAATGTACATCCTCATACAGCGCATTCAATGCTTCCTCACGTGCATTACTCTCGGCCCGGGACTCCTCCAGCCGCTTGAGGAGTTCTTCGACAGCGTTGGATGTTGGATCCAAACTTAAATTAACTTTCACGTCTCCATCCCTTCTCTTCATTGCGACCGGCGCGGTCGATTCACACGACGATTCCATCGTATTGATCTTTACAAACTCGGTAGAATCTAAAAAGCTCGACAACGCGCCGCCGTTACCTGCATCCTCTCCTTTTTGCGAGGCCACAAGCTCTCGTTCCATCTTTCGTGTCGGCTGAAGCTGCGCTTCCCTCTCACCCCTTGTGTCCTCCCATGCAACCCCATGGACACGACGCTGCAGCTCCATTTCGGACATCGCCTCCGATTGGCGACGCAACTCCACCTCAAGCTGCTCCACGTAATCCTGCAGAGTAGAATCCTCTTTGAACGGGGAATTCTCCGAGTTCTTGCCCAAAGCGGCAATTGGCCCACCTTCACTCAATGTGCCTTGAGTGCCTTGTGAAGCCCGCAGCTTCTGTGCCTCTAGCTTATACTTATCTCGCTCCTCCGCGTACTTGCAAAGAAGTTCCTTCAGCGTTGCGGTCTGTTCCTGTAGGGAGCTCAGGTACGTTATATCATGACTGAGGCTGTCGGTCCCATGTTTGACGTTACGCCTATTCCCATTGCCGTCTAACGTCACGGATTGGCCTTTGCTCTCTGCGTTAAACCGCTCCTTTAAAAGTACCTCAATTGTTTTCCGGTCAAATTGATGCACCAGAAGCCAAGTTTTCCGTGACGTTATGAACCGCTGTCGCAAAGCGGCCAGCTCAAACTCAATTTTGCAGCTTTCACTTTGAAGTGCTTCCCACCTCTCCGAGGCTCTCCGGACGCGAGACAAGGCGTGTCGAAGACGGCGCTGAAGTTCACCCCTGTCCGTTGGCATGTTGTGCAACTCCTCCTCCTCCTCCTCCAGTACGCCCAATGAATCAATGTCATCGTCGTTCACATCGGCCACAGTCTGAAGTCGACGCAAAAGGCTTTCCATCTTTTCCCGTGTCACGCATATAGACGTATGTATTCTTCTTCGTCCTCAGCAGCGTTGCCGTAAGAAACAAAAAAAAAAAAAAAAGAAAAACCAAAAAATACACAAATAAATCAAATAAACAACAGGAAAACTCTGCAAGGAACATCAAAAACAAAAACAAAAATAGGAAATAAAAAAAATATATATATATATAATAATAATAATAATAATAACAGTTGATAATTTAAAAAAGGCGGTCTAATCCTGCTTTATTAGCAATTCAAGCGCGGCAGGATCCACTCCCTGTACAGCCTCAAGCGTCCCCAAATTGCGTACGACGTGACAGCTGATGTCTTCGTCTTCCACAACGAATGCACCGGCCGTGTTCATGCACACGCCTCTCGCAAGGACACGATTTATGACATCGTCATTATAGGCGGAAAAATATGTAACTGTTTCCTTCTCTCCCACTTTTATCTTTCCACTGTCAATTATGTAAACAACGTAGGCAGCAACCGTCCGCACACTACTGTTCGAGTACGAAGCAATAAACTTTTTGGCTTCCTCCACAGACGTGGGCTTTTCACGAATTTCACCATCCTTTACCACCACCTGATCAAAGGTTACCACCACACCGTGCTTTGGTGCAGGATGCATGTCCTTTAACTTTTCCAAAACGGCCTGCAACTTGGCACGTGCGATAACTTTCGTCAGATCAAAGGGGTCAGTAGAACGCCACTCCTTCTCGTCAATTTCCGGTGAAATTGTGATGAATTCCTTATACGCACCAGTAAAGTGTTCCACCAAAATGTCAGCTCGTCGTCGGGAACTCGTACCAATGACCATCACCGGGCCATTTGAATGGGACGCAGACATTCTCAAAAGTTTCTTATCCCACCGCAACTCCTTTTCTGTTCTCGTTGTTGTTGTTGTTCACCGCCTAAATGTCTGCTCCACCACCCACCGCGAAAGTCCACGTCAGTACCCTCCCCCACCACCACCACCACCACCACCACCACCAGAAAAATTTAATTCCACTGTGTCTCTGTGCATGCACGTCGGAGAGGGGAAGGAGAGAAAAATAAATAAACAAAGAAAAAAGGGTAGATCAGTGGCCCACAGAAAAAAAAAAAAAAAAAAAAACACGTTGGCCAGAATGTTTCTTCTGGCGTCAAAAAAAGAGGGTGGGCAGAAACAGCAACAAAAAACCACAGAAAAAGAAAAAAAAATCGATTTGTGTAAAGGATTAAATAAACGCCGAAAAAAAAAAAAAAAAAAAATTATTTAACAAAAAGAGTGCCCAGAAAGTCATTCACTCAGAAGCCAAGACACACCTGATCCACAGCCATTACCAGCTTGCAAGGAAACAGTAACCGTAATAACAAATATGTAGAAAGGGAAATATGATAGCAAAAAAAAAGAAAAAAAAAAACGGCAGCAAAAAAAAAGGAGGTTAAGATTACTCCCTTCTTTTTTTTTTTTTTTTCTACTTTGCGTTGGTTTCGCCTTCATTCTGGAAAGGGAAAAAGGGAAGAAGAAGTTAACTCAAAAGTGGAAATTTCTCAGTGTCGTGAAACTGCGGGGCGACACTAAGAAAACCGGTAAACGACTTCCAGCGTGTCCAACTCTGCTTTTGGTACCTGTCATGAGCCTTTTTGCCGGTGCTCAGTAAGATCTGCTTCTCTAGAAGCTCGCGCTGCTGGCGACGTTGGAATGTTTCCGATTCGTTCTTTAGACGTTCCATAAATGAATTCAGTTTTTCACGGGGTACCCCACTGTACCGAAGAATGAAAGGGTGCTGCAACAACATGTTCACCGTCCAACGCTGCGATGGATCCCTTACGAGGCAACGCACAATGAAGTCATAAAATGCGGAAGACCATGCGAGAGGCTTCACCATTCGGGACAGTTTCAAGTTATTCACATAGTTCCAATAATCAGACTTGAAGGACGAGCATGGGTTCACACCGTTGCTTAGCTCCAATAGCATGATGCCCAGAGACCATACATCGGCAGCGGGGGTGAATTCAACTAACAACATTTCATCTTCTATTTCGGCGAAAGCCAATTCATTCTGCAGGCGTTCAGGGGCCTTGTACAGTTTAGAGCCCAAATCCACCCCTGTTCTTCTCACCAGTTGTGTATTTGGATCCATCTGACACCCACACCCAAAGTCTGCAATCTTAAAACACCTTTTATTAAAATCAAGTAGTACATTTGCTGGCTTTAAATCACAATGGACAATGGAGTACTCCTCATGTAATTCCCGAAGCCCTTTTAATACGTCAGACGCTAAAATGGACAAAATAATTTCAGGTGCGGGAGTCTGACGATCAATACTCAACTCCCAGTCCTCTGGAACGTTGTAAGAACTTCGCCCTGTCAGATGCATGCATGATGCAGATTGCTGTTTTAACAGTTTTTCAGTTTGTTTTTGAACCAGAGCTGATCCAGCAAGATGTTTTCGAAAAGTGGACTGTGTCATTTTCATCATTTCATGAACAGGAAACCGTGAAAGCATCTTCTGAGCATCTTCTACACTAAAACTCATTAGCTCCATCAACACATACAAATGTTGACGCTCGTTGTCAAGGGTAGCAACAGCATTAAAAACCTGCATCAAGTGCCTTGGAGGCTCCCGAGACCTCTGAAGGCGAATCATGTTAAGTTCCTTTACAAGACCTCGTTTTCTACCTTGTCGTTCTACGGCATTCGTAGCCTCTGTCACCTCCTTCACGTCAATACGCTTCAATGCATAGAGTTTTTCGTCAAGCATAACGCGGTGTACAGTTCCTTGTGAGCCCCTGCCAATGAAGTCTAGTTTTTGCACCGCATCCAAATCCAACGAACTGTTCGTGCGACCAACATCCTCTGCAGAGAATGTTCGATTCAGTGTTTTTTTACTGTTGCGGGTAACTTTACCCGCCGTTTTTATATCACTAATTCCGGGCGAGAAGGTCTCTGTCGCAACGGAGGTGGTTGGGGAAAGCGAAGATTCCCCCGTTGGTGCCAGCGTAGTCTTTGCGGAGTCCGACGGCAATAGTGTATTCGACGATGACTTCTCCTCGAGCTCCGCGACTGCGCCACAGGGCAAAAATCCATGGACCTTCACAAAAGAGTCTTTGTAAGAAAATTTTCTCCTTAAACCATCCGCCGGCAAATCAACTCGATTTTCAAAAAGTGCGGCGTATCCCTGCGGTATTCCCGGCTGTTTCACCACCGCCTCACACCTCTGTGCCTCTGATGTGACGAGCGCTGGAATGGCACTCACTGCCGAATGTGTGACCGCGAACGGAGGCCGTGCAGCTGCGGAGAGTACAACAGATGACGCACAAGAAGGGCATGCGTCGTTGCCCTCGCCCTCAATGCCGCGAATGGCCGCTTCAACCGAGTCGACAGCGCTCGTCTGAATAGGATGGGGAGATTTTTTTGTTAATTTGGTTGTTGCTATGCCCTCGGCCTCTTTCCTATGAAGAAGTGATGCCACCTCCTCCTTCTGCGTCGTCGTCTTTCCCTCGGTGAACATCGAAACTCCATCCATCAGCACGAAAAGATTCGTATTATTGACATGGAAGAACCGAGCGGGGAAAAGCGGACCATTCGTCGTGACAACAGGGGATGTATTCGAATCATCCACATTTATGCAAAGCTCGTTCTTATGCTGCACCTGCATCTCATCAGATATCTCAGGAGGAGGTAACGCAAGGGCAAACCCCGCCGGTGGTGCTCGTGTTCTTCTTGTCCGCATTGTCGCCCCTCGTTACGTAAAAAAAAAAAAAAAAAAGACTTGCCGCGAGCCAAGTCCCTCGCTACTGAGACTAAAAATTCGCACCAAAGTGCAAAAAAAAAAAAAAAAAAAAAAAAAAAACGGGGGGATTCCTCGGCGTATGAGAAGAAATGCAGTACGACAGATCAAAAGGGAAAGAGGAAAATTAACCAAACATACACAGAGAGAAATAAACACACACACACACAAAAAAAGCATTAAAACCAGAGGGATGTAAAGAGAATACACCACGAGCCATACTTATATTGCTAATAGGACACACATAACTTGAATGAGGCGTAGATGCGGAGGAAAAATGGCTTTCTTAAAGGACGGTAAAGGCAGCGTGGGCAAAAACGCATAAATATGATACGAGGCAAAACCTTTATTTCCTCGGCTCAATCGTCATCTTCCTCCACGACGGATTCCTTTGTAAAGGTCGAACGCTCATCCAGTGCTGGTGGATTTCGCACACCAAAGTACCGCTCATGGGGTTCCGCCATTCGGTCCTCACTTGAACTCAAGGCCTTCGCTCGGGCTGCCAGAATTTCCTCCGCGTATGCGGTTCGTCGGGCTAAGCCGGCGGTGTACCACGGCGGCAGCGCGACCGTGACCGCCGATGCGGAGGAGGAAACTGCGGCACCCTCCCCGCCCTTTCTCGCGTGAGACGACCCCCTTTCTGCAACATTATCACCGTTGTGCGTGGGGTAATTTTCGAGGCCTCCTTTCCCCCCCGTTTTGTTGCCATTGCTCGTTATGACATCATCGTTGCCAGAGTCGATCGAACCATACATTAGACCCCTGAAATTCTTCCTCTGGAAGTGTTCTTGCTGAGACTCTTGTAATAAAAGCTCGCGCTTCCAACTAGCAATAGCGGCTTCCCGCAGGGGCTGTTCATGGACGTCCCAGCGCTCAATAAAACTCATAACGCTGGGACGAACACACGTGGATACATTCAAAAACAGCTCACACTCTGCGAGAACCGCCGCAAGAGTCCATCCCTGATATCGCCGCATGCATCCTATGACAACGCTGGTTTGAATATCCCCCGTAGGGCACGTAAAAAGCACAGGTTGAAAATCGGTTTCAAAAGCAAAATTAAGAGCGTGACGGACGTCAGACTCGGCAAAGTCACCTTTTGTCCATGAATATTCATTCATCCACTCCGTCAAATCCGCTGTGCAGACAACACAAATGGAATCGGTGGTGCTTGTTTCCCTCTTAAACGTCGGGTTACCCTCAGAGTTTCCTGTGGCACGTGTCGTTGTTTCTGTGCTTGCAAGGGCACGCGCAACAGACGCTGGTAGCAGCTCAATAGATAGCAACACGACTGTCTTGATACCAATATGCTTAAGGTAGGGCACACTGGCAAGTGTCGGGTAGGCGCTGCGGTATACGCCGGCCTCAACCATGGCAAAATTAGGTGGTGGTGTCCATGCCTGGTGACCCGCGCGACTGTACATGCAGCACCCGCTTCTGCCACACCCCTCTGTTTTCTTTTAATTTCAACGGGTGAAGAAAGGCATTATATTTTTGATGAGAGCAATCAAAAAAAAAAAAAAAAAAAAAAAAAAAGAATGACGCCATAATAATCTGACAACTCTGCCGCCAACAAATCTACTCCGCGCAATAAGAGAACGACATTTCGCTACAGCCATCGTTCCATTCCTCATTGCAATCAAAAATCGTGGGAGAAGATATATATATATATATATGGGAATTCACGAGAAGATCCAATCATTATTATCATCATACTACACGTACTCGTGCAATCAAAGCAGAAAAGGTGGTTTAAGAGAAAGTCTGCTGTCAAATCTTTTCTCCATCAAGCCGTCTTTTACCTCTTTTTTTTTTTTTTCTTGTACGCGTGTATGCATGTTTGTGTGTTTCTGTGTGTGCAATTTCTTTTCTCCGAGTCCTCTTTTCCACTGCGTTTTTCGTTCAATTTTCTTTTTTTATTTTTAAAATTAGTTTTCATGTCATTTCCTCCCTTCTTTTTTTTTCCTTTTTCGTCTATCGCCTGAATTTAATAAAAAAATTAAAAGTCATTTCTTTTCTCTTTTCTTCTAATCGCCGCCCCCCACTGCGCTGCGGTGTTATGGATGAGGTCAGAGCTGTGCCGGCGAGGCAATCACGAGAAGGCAGCCCAGTCTCAAAGCTCCCGGTGAATAAAAGTAACTGTGGCCGTGCACGGGAGTTCTTCTCTCATCGTGGAGCCCCTCCCAAACAAAAGGTGAGAGAAAAGAAAAAGGGTAAAACGCGCTCCATCAGTATTGTTCCGCAAGCCTGCTCCGTATCTTTCCTCTTTTTTTTTTTTTTTTTTTTTCGGTCGCCAATCGCTACTGCTCCTCCTCAACGTGAGTGAGAATGACGTCATCAACCTTCAGAATCATCTTCACCACTTGTGTGGCGAGGCGTAGCTGCGAGCACTTCCCCTGCAGGGTTTCAAACACCTGCTGCTGCTTCATGTCAATTGTGCCGCAATCCATGCAGTCCACGCCGGCGTACGGATTCTTTCCTTCTACCTGCACGATGCGTGCCAGTGAAAGGGCTTTAATCGGGTCGAGACCGCTGTTGAGAGCCAAGTTGATGGGAATAGATTCCAGCGCATCCGCAAATCTCCGGATGGCGTACTGGTCGACAGTCGAAATGCTGTCGGCGTAGTTCAGCACGGCCAAAGAAGCGGCAATTTCCGCCGAACCCCCACCGTACACGACACGATTATCGCGAATCAAATTTCGAACCATGCACAACGCATCGTGAAGGGAGCGCTTTGCCTCCTCAACCATCATCTTATTCCCGCCACGAATCAAAATGGTTACTGCCCTGCTGTTCGGGCAGTCCTCAATAAATATCATGCGGTCCTTCGTGGTGCCAAAGCCAACCTCACGCACGGTGCCACAAGTTCCAAGTTTCGACCCACTTATATCTTCAAAGCGGGGAATGATACGTCCACCAGTGGCGATGGCAACCATCTCCAGTTCCACACCACCAACCCAACGCACTGCGGGGAGATCGTTGCGGAAAAGAAGATAATTTGCCTCATCATCAAACCCCCACTGACAAATGACAAGTTCGGCTCCTGCATCTTTACAGAGTTGAACTTGCTTCCGGAAGTATTCTTGCTCCTGCGCGTGGATTTCAGACATTTGTTCCGCATTAGCAATTTGAACCGTGTGCTTCGTCTTGGGCTTCGGTGGTTCAAAGGGGCAGGTTAAAATGGCAATCTTTGGGTTCTTCAACTGCTTGGGCATCTGGGGGTGGGAAAAGTCCTTGTCCAGCACAATGCCATTTACTAAGCACGTGTCCTCAAGGCAGCCCCCCACCTTTCCCTCCACCTTAATCAAATCAAGATTCACATCCCGACGCTCCATGTCCGCCACGGACAACACGGCATCCACGCAAATCTTTGCAAGACGGTCCCGCTCGCGATTCACAACCTTCGAGTTCAGTGTTGAGCGTGCGGTCTGCAGGAGATAATTGTATTCCTCACGGCTAACAGGCACCGTCTCTGAAATTTCCTCAATTCTTTTGCATGCCACCTCACAGCCCTTCTCAAATCCCTCAGAGATGCGGGAGCTGTGAATGCCCTTGTCGAGAAGCCCATTGGCCTGCTCCAAGAGTGCCCCAGCGAAGCATACAACACCCGTCGTACCATCGCCAATTTCAGAGTCCTGCGACTTGCTGAGTTCGACCATGAGTTGACCAATTTCATTGTCAATGTCCATGAGATCAACAATCGTCGCGCCATCGTTAGTGACAACAACATCATTGTCTTGCGTCACTAGAATCTTGTCCATTCCACGAGGTCCTAGACTCGTCTTCAGGACATTGGAAACACTTATAGCAGCAAGGATATTGGACTTCTGCGCCTCCACTCCAGTCAAACGCTCCTTCTGCGCCTGTTCCTTGACCAACAAAAAGGGGCGGCCGTACTCGTCAAAAGCCAAAGACATTATTCTGAACGGTGTAGTGAAACTTACTCACAAATGCACAGACACACAAAAAAAAATAAAAAATATTGTTTTTAGGTAGTAACGACAGTAACAAAAATGAATTGTACCAAAGGCTACACTCTTCGCATGACAGACCTCAATGCCGCAGCGACAAATAAAAAAGAAAAAAAGCCATTATGTGTGCGCTCCAAATATGAAGGAAAAACCCAACAGACAGACATAAAGAAAACATAAAAATTCTATGGTGCCTGCATATGTGATAAATAAGACAAAAAAAAAAAATGCCTCATTTACGAAAACATGCCTCACTTATCTTCTATAATGTATACCGCTGTGGGGTCAGACTGAGCCTCGCCCACAGCTTCTTGTTTGGTATGGTTGTGTTGGCCAACAAAACCCCTCCACATAGAAATGATTTGCCTTATGCGAGTTTCCTTATCCCCTGACACATTTTTATCGGGTGCACGACTAACAGTATAAAATCTTGTGTTCCTATCCGTCGCAAAATTAACAGCGACTGAAGTACTTCTTGAGAAGGCCCGATTTCTCTGTTGAGTTGGCAACTCTCCAGCAAACCGAGCACGAAAGAGTTCTGAAGCAGAGCTATCCTTGCAGAGAATAACACTTTCCATTGTTCTCGGTGTACCAATGACGGCGCCCAATGTCATAGTTGTTTCTGTGCCATGACTGACGTGCCCAATGCCAACCTCCGTACCAAGAACAACGCACAATTGTTGGGCGCCCGACCACGCAATGGATCCTATCGAAAAGTTTACTTGAGCCTTTCCATAACCATTTCCTGGCGTGCAAAGTATCCCAGAGCTGCATTCCCAACATAAAAGTCTGCCGTTGTTAGTCCCCGCCACAACAGCCTCTCCGTCTGGCAGCAATGTTACTGCAGGAACATACGGCCTTTGATGAAAAGAAATTTTGTGCAGCAGCTGTTGGCTGGAATCATCAAACAGGTAGGCCACTGGTAATTTGTCACACTTAACTAATACACGACCCCCATGAGATTCAACACGTGTAGCCCCATGACATTTAAACCGACGTCTTAAAGACATCTTCCAAATACGTTTACCGTCCTTTGCTTCCTCGTACAGGACACGCCATACCAACAAATTGCCGAACGCATCCACAGACCAAACACGATGGAGTTGTGAGGCGCAAACGGAGTATATAATAGCCTCCTCTTCACACGGGGTCTTGCACAAAAGTTCCCCCAAAAATGATTCTCCTCCAGGGGAAAACGCCAAATCCGTCATAAAAATAGAGGATCCAAGAAAGTTTCCTCGGCTGTCGCAAGTACTCCGAAGTAACATACTATCCAACCTCATTTCTTCCAAACTTGACGGATGCTCTTTATCGTATCTCCAGAGAAATAGATGTGGATCGTAACCGCAGGTAATAATATGACTCTGGTAGAAAATTCCATCATACACCGGGAATGTATGGGGAAGCGTGCAAATACAACTACTCTGGAGGTCTCTACTTGCATCCATGGGGGAAGATAGGAAATCGCAACGCCACACCCTCACCGTTTTATCAGAGGAGCAAGACAACAATAGTTTGTCATCGTTGCGAAAAACTAAATGATGAATGTGTCCAACATGGCCGCGAAACTCACGAATAACAGGAATCTCTGGCATCAACACATGACGCAACTGAACCACGTGTTCCATACTTGCTGTCACTCCCATTGCTAGCCAAACGGTACCGCCTGAAAAGGCCACACATGAAACCCTACCCCGAAGTTGCACCCGCTGCAAAACGTCAATGGGTGGCAAAACACGCTCTTCTTTCTCACGAAGGTATGATTTTAAAAGAGCAGCCGTATTTACCAAACTCAGCGACACATCCCTCACTCGTCGCATTGGATGGGAGAAAGGCGACAAACTATGAACTATACTTTTGGGTAGAAATTCATTAGGCACAGACATTTGATTCAGTAAATATTCCTCGTACGGAAAAATGGCTGTTTCTCCTGGATGGTGGGCATCCTTATTGACCTCCAAGGAAATAAGCATTCCAGCGGAGTACGGCACTTTGCGGTTGCGTGGGTCTCGGTACACAAAAAATATATCCGGTGGGGTGCTGGTTTTAAAGGAAAAATTTTCTGTTTTATCCGGCACACCATGATACGAGTTGGGCGATGCGGGTGATCCATCCGCTGCCACCGTCCGTATGGCATCGGCCGAAAACGAGAAGGAGCTTGGAAAGCAAAATGAAGGGAACAACTGCATCAACTTCGTAAGATATGAGGCACGCTGAGGGAATGGAAACATCTGTACGTGTAACCGGTTCCTCGTATTCAATCGCCCATGCGCATCATGCAGCCTCAAAAAACCCCAACAAATCGGGTAGAGGCCATCGCGTCGTAATGGAAATCCACAAATGTTTTCCGTGCCCATTTCCAAAACCTCTAAAAGCAACACCGCGTTAGAAGAAACATCATGAACAATATTCGACTGCACGCGCAAATTAAACCTAGCTCCCCACCATGGTGCTCGCGTGCCACGAAGGCGAAGATCAATGGGGTGCGTTAAGACAAAAGGTGCCACTCCACCGCCAATTTGGACAAGATTACTCCCAGTAACCCCATTCACAAGCCAGATTCGTACAAAAGGGTGTACAATCGAAGTATTAGGGTGAAGTGGACTCATTCCTAATATTGTCAGGGCGAGCCACGTGGCACCAGAATAAAACTCCGTTTCGGACCCCAAAGGCTCCTCGTGGGGATCATCAATCGTCAACAACGACATGTCCAAGACACCTGGTCGAGGCCTAACATTCCTCCCACTCTGACACGCCTTACTGTGTGTGTCTAAAGGATGGGGTGTGTTTACCAACGGAATGAACGTTGCCCTATGGAGTTGTGAAGCCAACGCAGCCTGTGTTGTCACTTCATCCTCCTTCCAACTCTTGGGGCGGTGCCTGGAGGGTAATTCGGCGTCAGAATCAACTTCGCTTTTTCCCGTTGCTGTCGAAATCTCTGGCAACTTCAACGGTTTGTCATCCCCCCAAAGTTTGGCCTCGTCGTGCATTGCCTTCTCCGAGTTTGCCTCGGCCATGTTGATGCCCAACTTCCCAGAGAAACTCACGGAAGTATTTTCTGTTTCATCCATCCCCAACGGGGCTACGGGCGCTGAAAAATAAATTTCATTTGACAACTTTGATGCCTCGTGATGAAGAACAAGCGCATCGGGTTTTTCCTCTAATGGTGGCAACGGCAACGGAAGTCGCCGTGCCTCCGCAATTGCGTCGGTTGAGGAGTCTGGCGAGGAATCCTCCTTCATCCCCGGCGGGGTGAGAGACACAACAGGCCGACCACCACCACAGTGCCCCTTTTGCGAGGTTCCCTCCTTATCCGGCAATAAAAAACAAATGTGAAGGCAGAAAAAAAAAAAAAAAAAAAAGAAAAAGACAGAAGTTAGACCGCGCATAATAAAGAGTAAAAGAAAAAATGTAAATACAGGCAAACAGGATACGAAACAAAACAGGTCAAAATTGCATTTCTTTTTATCCTTAAAAAGACCAAACAAAAACAAAAAATAGCACAGAGGAAAAGAGCATATACATATGTATATATGTATATATCCACACAGAGACAGACCCATACACACAGAAAAAAAAAAAAAAAAAGAGAACCTTCAAAGCATTACGATAGCATTGCCCTCAGCTGAACGCGGGCATCTGAGAGATTTCCGTCGACAACGTTGAGCACAGCCTTCACCATCTCTGAGCCCACCTCCGGGAATTCCTTTAGTAACAAATCCAAACTGTTCAACTTCGTCGGCACTTTAATGGGTTCATCTCCAACAACGGGTCTCGAGTGGACTCGCGGAGGAATACTTGGCAAGCGTTGAGCTGTTTTGGCAAAAGAGCGATTCACAGCCTCAGCCACGCGTGCAAAAAGAAACCGCGCCTCAAACTGTTTCCGACCCATGTCCGACACGCGCCGCACATACTCCTCACAAGAGAGCTGCCCAGCCTTAAGAGATCTCTCAAGGAGCTCCAGAGCATCATCCAAGGCGTGAATCTCGCTAAGAAGTTCAAGTGCATGCGTCTGTAGGTCATCCACGGGCTCAATGCATGTGGAATGGACCTCCAATTTGTCTGGAAGTTGCGTTAATCTTCCAACAAGATCTTCCACCTTATCGACTGCCGGTGAATATGCAAGCAGCTCAGTCTTTTTTTCCTCAAGTAGTCCCCGTGCCTCCCGCATAGCTCCGCCACATCGATATAGACGTTCAAATTGGTTGAGGGATTGCTCACGGGTGTCCAGGTATCCTTCTGCCTTGGAGAGTAGATGTAGCATTAATAATTCAGCTGCCCGTCGCTCAAGAGCACTTCGCTGCTCACTGGACGTGTTCGTTGAAGGACGCCGATGGCCCTGAGTTTGAGTGTTCGCCTTGTTCTGGGCCACCTGGTTTGCAGGGATAAGAGGAAATTCTATTTCAAACTGTTCTGTCAGCGCCAACAGTATCTCCAGCAACGAGTAAGGCGGGGTGGCACCACTTAATAAGGAAAGCTCTGATAAATTTACGGAGCCGTTGGATGTAACGATCCGCGATGGCTGACGTATGGACCACTTTTCGACATTCCTATATTTGTAGTTTGTGGAGTTTACGCTGCAGCATGGTGGAACAGATGGAAACCTTGGAGGAAAATAAACCTCAACAAATAGGGGAGGGAATTCCTTATTTTCCTCATGGGCTCCAGTGTTGTCATTTCGAGGAGGTGTGACGAAAAGTGGGCATTGAAGAACAAAGAGCCTCTGGTTGGCTTTCATAGAAAATGAACAACTGATATTGCCAAAGTTGCCTAAATACACCATAAAATCACTTATGTACTTGTTGATTTCCGTCGCGGCAGCCTGACTGTAGTGTTCCCGCAGACTGTCCATAGACATGCATCTGCGCAGCTCATCCTCACCCATTCCTCACAGCTGGTCCCGTGTCCCCCCTTTAAAAAAAAAAAAAAGTAATAATAATAATAATAATAAATCCACTGCCTCTTTTTGCTCCCTAATCTTGACTACCTAGCGCCGCCGCAATGGTGTATTCTAAAAGAACGAGACCCTGCCCACCCCTCGCAGGAGCACCACACAGGGCACGCACGCCAATAACACACACACACAAAAAAAAAAAAAAAAAAGAGAAGGGAAGGGAAATAAAAAAGTTAAATTGCACAGCAAACGCCCAGAAAGCCAGCGGTATATTTCACAGGCAACATGTGCAAAAACAGAGCACAAGGAACATGTCAATTGCCGGAACAGATAAAACAGGAAAAGGCAAAAAATAAAAAAAAAATAAAATAAATGTAAACAACATGAAAACAAAATAAAGGATCAAAGGAGACGCATCTCTAAATTTGAGATAATATACTGAATGGAGTTGCAAGAGTAGGCAATACGTACAAGAACACAGCGCATGTCTACCTCCATTATTTATGCTGACTCTCTTGTTTTCGTTTATTGTTATTATTATTATTAATATTATTATTATCATTAATTACTTTTCTATTCTCATGTCTTCTCTCTCTGCTCTCCTTTTGCACCTTCCAATGTGCATATTCGGACTACTCCATCCTCCGTGCCAACTGTGCACAAAAAACAAAACAAAAAACAAAACAAAAAAAATCGGCAAAAAAATAATAATGAAGTTATGTAAATACATATCGCTCTGCGTACTTGCATATATATATATAATTCATAATGCAGCCCCTGTATACATATATATACATATATACATACATGCAAACATATATATATATATATATATATATATGTTGTAACTATGAATAGAAAATAAACGATGTTCCTGTCCAAAAACAAAGCAAAAAAAAAAAAAAAAAAGAAAACAACAACAACAAAGAGAACGTAAGGGCCTCCTCCCCCCTCCCCCTTCCATCGCGCGCATAACTCAAAAAAGTAAAAAACAAACATGAATGCCTGATAGACAGACACGTAAAAAGGCCCACAGTGAGAACAACGCAGGTAGAGTAAAAATAAGGAATACGTAAGGAGGAAAAAATTTCCTTACAAGAGGGTCCAGGTGTCCGTGAAAAATAAGAAGAATGCCTTCGCTGCAACGACAAAGTGCGTCACGGAATTCCGTTAGAATCCACGAAGCACAGACACACCCTCACACCCTGACTGCTGTGATCATCCACACCTCTCTCTCCTCTATTTTACACAACTATGCAATGCACTCAAATACTCTCCGCTCGTTTTAAAATTCTCTCATCGCTTATTTCCTTAACCGGCCCGAGACTGAACCCCGCGCTTACAGAGTCATAGGCCCACATCTACAAGTATTCCAGAGACAGATATATATAGATAGATATATATATATAGATATATCGATATATACACACGTACGCTTCTCAAACGTAAGTAAAGAAATGTCAATTCCATTTGTTTGTTTGTTTGTTGGGGGGCGGTCCCTCCCTCCCTCTGCCAGCCAAAAGACGGAAATCACAAATTTTAAAAATAATATCAAACCAAAAGAAAGAAAAAAAAAAAAAAAAAAAGAAAAGCACTTAGCCCGATAAAGGGATCTTCATCAATCATAAATAATAATAAAAAAAAGATCATCCTTTGCCCTCTCACTGGGCCCACACACACACACACACACACACACCCTCTCCCCACATCCTCACGGAAAAAAAAAACCAAAAACAAAAAAAAAACAGGCATCTTCCACCTCGTAAAAAAAAAAGGAAGAATGCACCAATTCTTAGCCAAACTAAAGCCAAGATTGCAGCTCCTCACATCCTTCCAGTCCTCTTATATTTAACATTTCCTCTTCTCATTTTCCCTCGCCCCTAACCCCCTCCAGAGCCCGGCAGCACCGTTGAGGGAGGGTGACTGCCACCATATAAACCACATGACGTACGAAAATAAGATAAAAAAAAAAAAAAAAAAAAACAATGCCACTGAACGGATTTCCTCCCTTATTTGTTGTTGTTGTTGGTGGTGTATGTTCGTGCAAACCACACCCGTCTCCCCAAATGTCATTTTAATTGGCAGTTACTGTGCTCTTCGCTGCTCTCCCCTCCCCATGGGCGGCACCGCACGCTCTGCATGCGTCAGTCAGTACCATTTCCCCTTCCCAATTCCCCTCGTTCCCTCATGCCCTGACCGCCCTCATCGTCGCATCGCTACCACCCCGCAGAGAGCGTCAAAGAGGGAAATAGAGAAAAGCCACGGCAATCACACAATCACCACCACAATAACAACTCAACAAGACAAAAACAAAAACAAAAAAATGTACACACGCATTCGCACAAAATCAAAAAGACATGCAAAAGAAGATCCAAACAAAACAAACAAACAAACAAACAAACAACAACAACGACAGAACAAAAAAAAAAAAAAGAAGAATACACACAAAAAAATTTATTCAAGCACAATTAATACATCTATATGCCTTACAGATATCCAATGCCGACACACAGAAATAAAAGGAAGGAAAACACAGTGAAAATTAATCAAAAAATGGGACAGGATATTTAAAAAACACCGATAATAATTAAAGAAAAACAAAAAACACAAACATGGAAAAAAAAAAAAAAAAGGATCATTTCCTTCCCCTCCTCCAAATCGGCACCACGCATATTGCGAGCATTGCTAGTTTTAGATGGGTAACGTCATAAAAATCGTAATCCATGCATAAATAAATATGAATATAAATACATTTATTATATCATTCCATTTTGAATGTTTTTTTCTTCTTTTTTTTTCCTTTTTTCTTTCTTTTTTTTAAATTCATTATTTTCTTTCGTCCTTTCCTGTTATTTATCCTTTCCCTATATATATATATATATATATGTGCCTTCAACTTCTCTTCTCTCCCGCTCAGAATGAACCTGCGCCCCCTCCTCCTCCTCCTCCTCCCTCCTCACTATAAGTCTGCACGTGTGCAAAAATCCCTCTGTCTACCGGTGTTCGTGTGTGCTGTGAAGAACGGCGATTAAAGGCGGACTGAAAGTCCCTTTTTTTGTTCTTTTCTTTTTTTTCTTGGATGTCTTCTTCTCCAGTTTTCTTCCACACATACACACATGCTTACGCACGAAAAAACAAAAACATGTTAATCACATCATCCAATTCAAAGGGGGAAAAAAAAAAAAAAAAACAAAAAACAAACAACAACAAAAAAAAATATGTCAGTCAACATTTATATACGTGTACGATAGGCTTGTTTTGGTGTGCATATTTGTGGGACATTTGTCAGCGCTCACAGACATTTTGTTTGGGTTTTTTTGTGCGTTTATTCCATCATCCTCCCCTCTTCTCGGTTGCGACTACACACAAGTGTAACGTTTGGCTGTTGGGATTACTCGATACACACAATGTAGCGAAAAAAAATAATATAATAAAAAAAAATAATAATAATAAAAAAGCAGAAGAGAATAAAATTAATGGACGCATTCCACCCTTTCACTGTTAACGTCCACCCCCTTTCCCTTCTCCCTCCCCAAAAAGAGAAAAAACAAAAAAAAAACAAAAAAACAAAAAAACATACAAATAAAAAAAAGAAAATTGCAAGAAGGAATATATAAAGCAGCCCATTACACAAACAGACTTCAAAAAGTAACACTTCGCTCCTACACGTCACACCATCCCTACTTTAATACTACATATATACATATCGTAAAGTACATATGTAATACATATACGTGTGCGTGTGTGTGTGTGTGTGTGTGTGTTTCCTCAGGGAATTCTGTTGTAGCCACATTATTAATAATAATAATAATAATAATAATTATTATTATTATTATAATTCCTTTGTCTGTGCCTTTTAGTGTGTGTTGCCATTTTTTGATGTTTTAATATACTCTTCATTCACGTGCACACTGTCTTGTCTGTTGTTCCTGCTGTTCATCATATTTATTATATGTAATATTTACTTATTTATAATTCTTGCTGTTGCCACCATTTTTGTCATCGCCATATTCAAAATAAATAAATAATAATAATAAAATAAAAAAATACAGTCATTATTATTATCGTCACTGCAGTAAATTTTATATGTATACACATATATATACATATATATATATATAAAGAAAGATAGATAGTTATAGACATATATGTGTAGACATAGAAGGTGTCATTGCGTGGGTATCGGGCTTGACTATGGATTCCTGCCATGCGAGTACATGCAGACAATTACAACGTGCAGAGAAATAAAAAAAAAAAAATTTCTTTGCTCATCTCGCTGCGTATCATTCCTTTGGTCTACTTAACTTCGCATCCCTCATTCTCCGTCCCCACTCCCACTCCCACGCCGTCACACACATATATATAATATATGAATGTATGAATAAATAGATAATGGCACAGACACACATACACACAGAGAGAGGGAGAGAGAAGGCATGGAGCAACCACACACATACACATACACATACACATATATATTTCCCCTTTTCAGCCTGCGAGTCAATTTGCTTGCCACTTCCATGCGTTCTCGTTTCCAGCGCTCCACAAACAAAAAAAAAAAAAAAAAAAAGAAACATCGCTCTCCTTCTCTCGCTTTCAACACGCCAACTGAAACAGACACGTCAAAAAATGCAAAAAAAAAGGCAAACACACACACACACACACACACGCACATTGAAAGGAAAAGAAAATTGTTAAAAGACGCTAAAAAACTCCGTAAAAGTTGGAGATGACAAAACACGGGAATGAAGCAACAAAAATAAAGGGAAAATCAAACTAAATAAATAATAACAAAAACGACAAGAAAACAAACAAAAACAAAACAAAAAAAAAGTCGTAGCGGGTAGGCACACAGAGACACAGACAGAGTGGGAGAAAGAAATGCACACATACAACAAAGCATGGAAGAGGGGTGCGGGTCAATCACGAAAAGAATTATAAAAAAACAAAACACACACACAAAAAAAGAGGCAGAAACCACAGAAGAAAGAAACAAAGAAACAATAACATTTCAAAAAAGTACTCCACGCTTCCACAAAAAATGAAAACCTAAAGAAATGATACAAAAAAAGAGAGGAATAAAAAGAGGTCGACACAAATTTTTTTTTTCTTTTTTTGTCTTTCAAAATTCTTTTTTTCTTTTCTTTTTTATTTTTTTTTTGTCTTTTATTTTATTTTATTTTTTTTGTTTTGTTTTATTTATTTATAAATTTTTTTTTTTTTCTTAATTTTCTTCCTTTTTATTTTTCCCCGCCTTTCCTCCCGGCGAGGGCGGAAGCAAACGGCGCGGGGGAAGTGAAGAAACAACAAAGAAATGGTGAGAGGGCAACGAAGGGAGTAGCCAGAGAGACAGTGAGAGAGACAGGGAGAGGGCCAACGCAGCAGCAGCAGCAGCAGCAGCAAAAAAAAAAAAAAAAAAAAAAAAGAGCTCTCAAACAATTTGGTACTATTGATGTGTTTGTCTCCCTGCTTTTCATGTCTGTTGCCTCTCCCTCTCCACCCCCTTCGCCCCCGGTGCCAAGAATGTTTAATCCAATCGTGAACTTAACCGCCACTCTCCGCTTATTCATTCCTGACAACAGGAGATCTGCATGTTGCCACAGACGCGCATAAAGAAAAGAGATATGAATGAAAAACAAAAACAAAAACAAAAAAAAAAACAAAAACAAAAAAAAAAGGAAGGAACAGAATCCAAAGATGAAAAAGTTAAAACAAAATAAAAAGTAGGGGGAAAAAAAGTGAATCTCCTGTATTTACCCGCCTTTACACATATTGCCAGCCATTGTTTACGCTGTAGCCCTGCTGTTGTTGCGCCAGCGGCGGAGGCGGTAATGGTTGTTGCGGTATCTGTGGAATCAATGGATTTTGAGAATGAGACTGAGACGTGTACGGCGGAAGTGTGTGCAGGAACATCGCTGGGTTTCCTGCAGGCGGATGTGAAGAGCCACCCAAGTTCGACTGGGGCACAATAAACGGTGTCATTCCCCTTGTGGCCTGCGCCGCATCCCCGCAAGCACCTCGCTGATTACTGCAACGCATGCACATCACCGTGTTGTCTTGGGGAAACAAAAAAACAGGCTCCATCGCACCAATAGGCGAGAGACAAGTAGAACAGCGTGAAACTCCCTCAGGGAGTTTTGGGGGCGGCGGAACCGCGTTATAGGAAGCAACAAAATCCGACAAACTTGATGGAAAAGAAGTCCCCGAGTTGCCGAGACCGCCATTCCCAGTTCCATTGCCACCCCCATTGACTGCGGGTGCAGAAAATACCTTGCTATTTATTTGATTTGGTGGAAGGCCCTGAAATCCGTTTGGAGGAGCCCCAATAACATAATAATTGACCTGCGGGACGGGGGCAACCACCGATTGCGACAGTGTTGTGGGCAAAATATGGTTCTGCAATACACCGGGAATGTTTGGAGCGGGATTATTGTTCAAAAACGGCGTGACACCAGTGTTGTTTGAAATGGGACGAAAAGAAAGAGCCGACGTATCCATAGAATTCCACCCAGGCACAACGAAATTCATTGCCAGTGGATGAGAAGTTATGATGGAGTTAACATCATTTGTGGCAATTAAAAAATTCTCTGGGACAGCACCCACGTCTCCCTTATGTCGATTACTCGACTTCCCCCCTTTACTAGCAGAGGTGCGGCTTCGCATGTATTGTGGAGTTAATTCCTCCAGTACAAGAGCGGG